CCGTGTTTATATGAACGTTTTATGCAAAGCGGCTCCTTTTTTTAAGGAAAATGCGCCAGTTTGTTGGGGATTTTCTTCTTTGCTTAAAAATATGGTATCAAAAGACGCAGCAGTGTTGTTATCAGAGGAATCCAAACAGTTCGGTGTTTGTTAACTTTGTATGAAATCGCGGCGATAAGGCTCGAGACGTTGCTTTTATCACTAAGAGATGCTGCTTATTTATAACTGAATAAATATCGCGTTCGTTCTCAAGTGCAGCCTGATAAGCCGCCGCCGACCTATTGGGTTTCCACCTCAACCCAGAAAACCCGAAGGTATTAAAATCATTTCATTTTCAACCTTTTTTTTTTAAATAAAATGTTTATTTGAAATATTTTTTATTTGATGCGATTGAAACCAAACCAGTAAATCAAAATAGGTCCCTTCCACGTGGCGAATTCCTAATTTATTCCGACCGCATGCGAAATGCAGTGGTTCCATCTGCCTTTTTTTATATACCGTTGACGAGCAGCCGCCAAGGTTGATGTGGTTCTCTCATTTCAATTATTTTCTCACTAGTTCCCTTCGGCGGCGCATTCTTGAGAATTAATTCAAATGAGAGTTCTCTTTCTGCGCCGTTTCCGGCACGGAAAACAAAGCCGAAAAGTCGGTGTTTTCGGCGTGGCCATGCGAAAAACGAGCGCCAAAGTCGCATGGACATTAACATTTTTCCCTTGCAGGCATTCCGCCCGCTCTGTTTACACAGCACCACCACTTTTATCTTCTCTCGCTCGCGCTCCTTTTATACTACACACGTGAAAGTTGAGCATTTTCACAACTGAAAACAAAGCTGTGAGAAATTCGCCACGGCACCTTCATATATATGCATCGACATTACGTGTTCGCTTCTTGGCAGGTGGAAAATATAAAAAAGAGCGGCAGGTAGGGGAAGAAGGCAATCTGCCCGGTGGCTCTTTGCATGACCGGACAAGGTGGTAATTTCGCTCACAGTCTCGCAATCCGGCGAAACTTGATTATCGGGTTTCTTCACACACAAAAAATTAACTAAAAAAGTAAATAAATAAAAATGCAAATAATATTCACAACCAGATTGTAAAATTAAAAATTCTTATGTAAACAATTATAATTTTCAAGCAGAATAATTGTTTAGTATGAATTTAATCAAATGTGATTTAATAGGGAAGGAATGAATGCATTAATCAATAAGTGTATTTCAATTAAAGCAGTGATAAAATTCATGCACATAGCAATCAGGAATTCAGTAAAGTAATGGACGTTTAAATAATGCATTTGTGCTCATTGAAGCGGCGCCGTAAACACTCGTTAAACCATTACAGCCATTAAAACGTCGGAACGATCGTTTCATTGCCAACAAACGTGCGCCCGGCGCGAAAGAGCAACTTTACAATTGGAAATGTGATTTCCGGAAGGCGAGAGATCGAAATTCGCAAAGGTCCCTTTCAGCAGTCGAGAATTATGCAAATTGCACGTGGAAACGGTTCGTCCGTGTAATGACATTCAATCTGCAATTCAGTGGCAAACTCCGCTGCCGCCGCCGCTCACACACACGCACGCATTCGGCCATTTTATCTCTCTGTGCTGCTGGGAACGGAGCGGAGAGCGTTTAGGTGCCTCTATTCAGCAGCAGCCAGCCGCCAGCGTATCGATTTGTTTTATGAAAAGGGCCACGTTTTGCTCGTGCCCTCCGCCCTCCCCGCGGCCACTCGAACCAAAATCTGACCTGCTATAGTCGTTAAACTGCTCGCACGAAACCCCTCGGGCACATTCTCTTCTCGTGATATGACGCCAATCGAGCTAGGAAGGAAAGAAAAAAAAATAATGCCGCTTCCCACGTGCAGGGAGTTTTGTATTTTATATAATCGAACCACCCTGATCAGAACCAGCCCCTCCGCAACAAAGGTCGAAGGTCACAGACGCCAATTAAAATGGAATTATTCAAAGCACGCTGTTTATGGTTTATTTTGCTGTCTCTTTTGCCGAGATTGTATATAGCGGGAGAGAAACGCGATTTTTATTGCCGCCACTTTTATGGCCGAGCCGGGCTGCAGTTTGCCCTCGACCACGTTATTTTGTGCTGCGAAGCGCAATTTGAATGGAATTCGCCGCATCAACCCGGTGAAATAAATGATGTGCGCTATTTTAAACTCGTCTCAATCGATTTTTTATAACCTCCATTATAATTTTATTTTTCGCAGAAATCTCAAAATGAAATAATTTCATTCAAGTAGGGTAAAAATAAAAAATTTTCAGCAAGGCCTGGTAGCTCAGTCGGATACACCTCATATTTAGAATCTGTGTTATTGCCCCCGTCATAGGTTCGAACCTACAAAGGTGAAATTATTTGAAATCTGATATGATGATTTGGTCAATAAACAAGGCATTGGGTTCTGATTAATCCTATGAAGAACGACCTATCTGATCAAATTATTCAAATATACCATCCTTTTTTTCCAACCTTCATTGTTGAGATCGAAACTGAGCTAAGTGAAAATTCAGCACAAAGGTCGCAGTCCTTGCTCTTTTGGCATTCTTTGTTTTAACCTTGTCTTTCACCACGAGTGCAGGTCCACTTTCCGCGCCCACCTATTCCAATTTGGTAAACCTTGAAATTCTCTAAACTGCTTCTTTCTTTCTTCATTTAAGTGGCACTAAAAGTCGGGCAAATTTGCGTCGCCCGTCCGTTTCTTTCATCTTATTGTTAGCATGCGGTCTGAGCGCGACCGTGCCAAAAAACAAAAACCCTCTGCCATCGACGGCCGGCGGCCGAGGGGAGAGCAATGACACGCGCAAACACACGCGAAAAAGCAGCAATCTCAGCTTTTTATCTCGGCTGCGCGCCACCTCGGCGCAACCTCGCCAGACGATGCTCTCTGCAGCTTCGCCCGGCACTGGGTCATCACTCCCCGGCAGCGATTAACCAACCCACCAGCCGACGCTATTCATCTCGCGGAATTGCAAATAAGCGATTCGCAAGTCGTGTGTGTGTTGCATAAAAGCGACACTTGTTTTTCTTTCATGAGAAATTGCGCCGAGATTAAATTTATTCCATTATGGAGGCCATCCGGCTTTGCATGCTGAATTGTTTAACTTTTCCAAAGGTCCCACGGGCTCATAAAATTGAATCAACTTAAATTTGTTAAAAGTCTGTTGTGAATAATTTAGATTTTATTAAAATAAGTCAACATTGAAAAAAATGAAACAGTACGAAAATTAAAAAAAAAAAGTTTTTTTAAGATTAAATATCACTTTAAATTAAAGTAATTCATTTTATGAATCAACATATTGAGTTATCTGCAAAAGATGCATAATTTATATTAATTTATTTATCAAACACTTAACACGTATCTTCGCTTTGAAATTTGCAATTAGTCTTGAGCACAAAGTACACCATAGATTGTAATAATCTCCAAATAACGCTGAGTTGCGCAATGTAAGCCCGTCCATCCATCAAGCGAGAGAAATCGAGCGACCGCTGACCTGCGATAAACACACAAAGTTGTCGAGTCTGCAGAAGCGAGCTCAATGTTTCGCAGTAAAATTAGAATTTCGCAGCGACGGCCGGGACGAGAGGAAGGGCGACTGATGCTCTCTGTCTGTCCGTTCTTTATTTTTATTATACGCGCCGCTCGACCTTTTCACATTTCGCCAGCCCGATCGACTGCTAATTAGATGGGATTTGTTTGTTTCGCCGAGTCGGCACAAATCGTTCTGGCAGCCGTTCGTTGGCCTTCTGCATGTGCCGCCCCGAAAATCAATATCAACTTGAGTGAGGCCCTGCTTGCTCTCTTTGTCCAGCCGGCGAACGGAGCTAATCCGAATCACCCAACGAATGCGGGCAGTTTACTTGTGATCCAAACTGCCAGCAGGAAAATTATTTAATTTCCAATTCACTGCCAAGAATAAGGTGGAATCCACGTGCGTGGGAAATTTTCCCTAGCTCGGCCGGTGGGAAGGTTGACAAGCAAAAGTGCAGCTGCGTCGTTTTAAGTTTGAAAGAGTTCTTCCAATTCAGAAGGATTAACTAAGAGGCGGGCTTGTCCGAGGCGATAAATTAGCGTAAAAGAGGGAGAAAAATTCCGCTCTTGCCGCTCGATTAATCACTCTCGCAAGTTATTTCTGTGCGGTTGCCCGCTCGCTCGAGAAGAGGCGAGCAATTTCGCAACTTGTTTCTTCTCTTTAGCTCTTTGCCTTTGAAATTTCGCCTTGAGTCTTCGCGGGTTGCCATTTCCTTCTCACGGCGAGTAGAAAAGTGAGGACAAGTGCACGCCGGGGATTTTCACGCAAATAAAATAGACGACACTCCCTGATCAGATAAAACCAGTTTTAGATTGCATGGGTTAAAGTATGTGTTTAGGCAACATAATTTTTTAAGGAAATAAACCTGTTGAAATGCTTACCGGTTCTTTAAAAATAGAATTTGTCCGTTAGAGTGGTATGGGATCTAGAACAACTACATATTTTCGTTCAACCAAACATCAAAGTATCAAATGTATGAGGCAGATAATAATTTAAAGTTATCTAATCCGATGTGATCTTTGATCTTCAAATAAGCTGTATCGTGATATTTCTGGCAATGTTGATGGACAATCAACAGATCAAAAAGTTTTGATTTGAATTTAAAATCGACTTTTTAATATTGGTTTTGTGAGTTGTTTCTGGTTTAAGAAAAACAATATCCTGCTCTACATGTTTCGGCTGCAGCTATTATTTATGAGCTGTGAAATCATTTGACAAGAAATCAATCTTTTAAAAAATATTTTTCTTTCAAATTAACACTTTTCGTGGAAATTACTAAGAAATAACCCTCGGTCGTGAACTTCTGCCATTAAAAAGGTCAAAAAGTCTTAAACGGTCCAGAAAATGTTGAGATACAATTTTTTGCATTGTATACAGTTGCAAATTTATATTTTTAACTTGACCTACATCCGTTTTGGCCTTTCGTCTCGCAAACTAAATGTTTATTTGTCTTATTGTTGCAGATCAAGCGAGTGGAGCGGCGCCAAACTGTGCGCGGATAAGAAGGAGGAAGGCGAGTGGCGCGAGTTTGAGCGCGAGCGGCGGCGGCAGTAGTGGTTCGCCGTCATTGGCGGCGGACGGTTGTTGGGACAATAAGCGTCAGCCGCAGCAACAGACGTCCAGCGATAGTGCGGTAGTGTCCAAGGTGGTGCTGGAAGAAAAGGCCAAGTGTCCCGCGCTCAGTGATGAAGAGGTAGTGGAGGTCGGCCGCGTCAAGAGCGTCCATGCCACTCGCGGCGACGGCAACAAGCTAAGACTGTTGGGCCCGACCGGTGATCATGACTCTGCCCGTCCGACGACAATGCTCCATCAACAACAGTCTGCACCGCAACAACCAGGAGACCTCAACCAACGCATCATCGACGCCTCTTCGCCTCTCATCTCAAACAGCCTCTCAATCCTGCCCTCGAGTGCTGCCTCAGACTCAGGTATATCGATCGAAAAATTTAAATCTCTTTCAAAAGCTTGAGAGAATCGGAAGAAGTGATGATTTGGTCAATAAACAAGGCATTGGGTTCCGATGTTGATTGTGACGAGTGACCTGTCTGATCTTTGTTGGCGAAACTTGATCTGATTTGAATGCCGGCCTTGAACCCATCGCAAGCACCGACCTAATGAATTCCGCGCAGCAAAGTCAAACAAAGTCATTCTCCAAATAATTGAAACGCCTCATTTTCTCTAGTCCAAACGTAGAGCTCAATACGTGTTTAATTAAAAGTCATTTGCTGCGTGAGTGAGGAAAAATTATCAATTTTCAAAATAAAATTATTCAAATATTTTTTCTTGAACTACAAAATCATTATAGAATGTTTTAATCAGTTGGTTCATTTGAAATTCAAAATAGCCATACACCATAAATCTCTGTATAAGCTTTTCCCCATTTTCCCCAACTTACTTGAATTGACTTCCTCTGAAAAAATTTGTATATTGACTTTTGAATTAAATTATCCAATTATTTCGCTCAGCAATTTTTATTCAGTACCAAAATTATAATAATAGAACGCTGTTGATGTATTTTATTCAAATATTTGGTACACTGAAATATTTGTTTATCTTAATCTTATGATAGTTTCAAGGCCTGCTGTTCTGTTTATAACTTCATATGGGAAAGTTCAAAGAAACGCACGCATTAAATGTACCTTATGTTTTATGTGAGAAAAAGAATTTTGAATATCCTAATAATTTCACAGTGAATTTATCAAAATAAGTAAAAAAAAACAAATAATGGAATAATTGCACGCACAAAAATCAATGTGTTTGGTAAAAAAAGAACATTGGGCCCTATTTTCATGCTCTTGTCTAATGGATGCAGTTATGTCTGATTGACGCTCGCTGCACTTTGTTCTCTGCGAGCAGGCCATTGTCTTCTGCCTCAAACAATGGCGCGTGACACTTGCTTGCCTATTACCCTGCTGTTAGTTTTTTATTCGTTTTCTGCTCTCGGCACATGGGCGACTAACACATACAGACAAGAAAAGCGATTTGAATTTGCTATTCTCGGAAGAGTGAGCAAGAGCAGAAAATTCCTGCGTCTCGCTTGAAAATTAAATTTCCTTCCCAACAAAGACCACGTTGGCTTTGGTGACAAGACCAACATAATCACCCACATTTCCAAGTTTTAAATTTTAAACTCTATTATCTTAAAAATAAAAATAAAGTGGACAGCAGTTCTACGGGTGAAAATGATTTTAATTGCAGTATAAAATCGAGGCAGGCAGAGGAAGTGGAAAAGACTGTCAAAGCGATAAAGAGCAAACAATTTATGTCAGTTGGTTCGCGCGATAAGAGTTATCAGTAGAATGGGCAGAATTCCGAACGCCAATTTTTCTCTCCAACGACGCGCTCAAGATGCGTTTGTTCACTAGTGCTGAGAGTGGCCTTCTCTTAATTCTCATGGGAATAATTCGCGCCGACTACCACAATGGCTCACGGGGAAATTTCTCTTCTATCGATTTTCCTTTACCCACATTTGCCAAGGTCTTGTCAATCTGCTTTTTATTTAATCTTCGCTCCATTTAGTTTTGTTTGAATTTTTTTCCATCCTACAATTTTATATTTTAATAATTAATTTTTTGGATTTTCCAAAAAAAAAATATTTATAGTTTTGATTAATCAAAAACAAGTTTCAAATCAGAGCTGAATCTATAAAAATATGTTTGTTGCTAAAAAAATAAATTTGAATACTAATTGCTTTTTAATTTTCAGGCGTGAGTTCGCTGCGCTCCAGCTCAAGTAGCGATGAACGCTCAGCATCCGCGTCCTCCTCTTCAAGAAGTTCAGAAACCGGAAGCAGCGGAGGCGCCGCAGCTTCTTCGTCGTCCGCACAGAATCTAGGCGCGCCCCCAACCACTGAGCCTGTGCGAGTGTGGCGGGACCCGAGCCTCGTGCAAGCCAGTGAACCCTTGGTGCGGCACATCCACAGCGTGCAGCACATCTCCCTGATGCCCCACCACCCACCGCCGGCGCCGCCGGCCTCAGCGCCCCCCGCCGGCTCGGTCGAGAGCCGAATCGGGGCGCCGCCGTCGGCCCAAAGTGCGCCCCCGGGCCGCAACCCTTCGCCCGTCACGCACTACCCTCCGCTGCCGCCCCCGATGCTCAGCCCCCACCCAGGGCTCCCACACCCCCACCTCATCACCTCGCCCATGTACGCCCAGGAGCTGTGGAAGCAGCGATACCTGGCCGCCGCGGCCAACTCGGCCGGCGCCCACCCCGACGACATCCTCGAGCGCGAACGCGCCCTTGCCCAGGACCGCGAACGCCAAGAACGCTACATTAGGTCAGTTTCCTTGAAAATAATACCCAAATCCCCCAATCTAGCAGTTCGTTTTACCATCTTTCCGAATTTATTATGTATCAATAACCTGCCAGCGCAATAATCTTGTTGAAGATAAGTCAACTAAAGCTACGATGCAATTAAGGCAATTTTATCATTTCAAGTGTGTTCACCTTGTTGCAAAAAAACGATTCTTAACCCACTATCAATTTTGTTCCAATCTTTGAAAAATTATCATGATCAACATTCAATCAATTTTATGGGGTTTATTATTTTTCTTCTTTAAATTTGCTTAAAGTTGTGGCAAGAATCTATATTTCCATTGCTATACAAAACTACGTTCAAGTTTCTGCTATTTCAAGCTTGTGGCACAATAAAATTTGTTCTAAGTGACCCCCACGTAATCATGCTGCAGTAAAACCAGTTTGCCATTTGCAGCAAACTTGTCCTTTAATTAAAAGTAGAACCAAACTTGCAAGTACTGTAAACTTTAATGGGGTAAATCAAGATTGTAGAGTGTGTTTGAAATTTTTCATTGCCTTCCCTACTTCATGCCTTATTCAATCGGGCAAAAGTTTTGTAGCGTGTGACAAAAATTTAATTCCGTTTTTATTGCTCACTGACTTAATCTGTCAATTTGAGGAAAGGAGGTAAAACTGCTGGTATGTGCGATAATCACAAAATTTTAATTATACAATCGGAGTGGTGACACATTTTTGTTTATCCATAAATATATCAATTCAGCTGAGAGTCATCTCAATGCCTGATAACTTTATCAGCAAACGAACATTGAAAAAAAAACTTCTTGCTGCACCTGTGAACGTGCAAAAACTCAACATGCTGAGATAAACGCGAGATAATTCGCTCACTTGAACAGGCCCAAGTGGCTGATTAATTATAGAGCCGGATCACTTTTTGCCCTTTGCCTGACCATTCTTGCGTATGATGGCGTTACGGAGAAGTGCTTAGAACAAGGTCAAAAGTTGCGAAGAACTAACTATTACAGCTAAGGTGCGACGGCCCGTTATTCAGTCTGCAGTTTCCCTTTTTAGGTACTCACGCACCATCGAGTGTTGCAAGACCAAGTTCGCCCCTATTTATTGCGACTCGGAGTTTGAGACTGTTCTTATCGCGGGCGCATTTTTTGAAGCAGAGATAACAGACCGATTACTCATCCCATCGTGAGAGATAGAACCAAATGTAAATTGAGCGAGAAGAAGCAGAAGAGTATAAAAGAGAGAATGGCTGAAGGACAAATTACAATGATGGCGGTCGCAGTTGTTGTTGGTCGAGAGCCATGAGCGAGTCATTGTTTCGCCAAACTGGTTTCCCTCGCTCGCGCACACGATGCTAATTTATCGTTATTTGCAGAGCACACACACTTACTCCTTAAGCGGCTTAGCAATTTAAATGAATTCCCCCGCCGTAGACGGGGAAAAAAAATATGGCGCATTTTTGCTCGAAAGCCTTTTAATTGAGGCGGGCCAACACCGGTGGCTAAATCTCTTGAGCTTTTTCGCAAATAAACTTCGTGTACATTCACTCTGCAAGTACATAGGGACGCGCGCGGTTCCACGGCCGACTGGTCACTCACTCTTCTGCAGCAAGAGAGAGAGAGAGAGACTTAGTCACGCCTCGCACAGGCTTTGTATTTCGGTCACGTTCCCGCCGAATAAAAAGCGCAGCTCGGCACCGAGAAGGGCATTACTTTATCTCGAACGTAAATTTAATGCGTCGTAATGTCTGTGAATGGGAGGAGGCAAAATTTAATACATTTATTTGCAACCAATTTGGCATGCTGTGAGGTTGAATTTGAACTCGGTGGGAACGGAAGAAATTTCCCTCCTTTCAATTTACAAACCATTGTGCTCCAAATAATTCTGATTAAAGTTCGTTTCAATGACTTGATAACTTTGAAAATTGAGTCTTTTAGATATTTAAAAAAAAAAAGAATGCATCATTAAGAAAACTTGTATCAATTTAAAATAAACAAAAACGCTGTAATCATTATTTTTTTTCTTTCCTCTTCTGTTGCAATTTCTATGATGATTCACCTCTCAAAGACAACCTCTTGCATATTTTTAACCCTCTCGTTTCCTGCTCGTCTGATAATGAGCAAGTGAGAGGAGTAAGGTGCGGAGACGCGCGGCCATATTGGATGCCCATCCATAACGACCTGCCTGTTGCTGAAGGAAGAGATTAGTCACGCGGTTCACTCGGCCTGCTGGATTACAGCTATAAACAGACTGCGGCTGCCTGCCTCTCTTCTCTTTATGTATTTTTTTCGCCGATTCCCCCGGGGAATAATTTATTAAGAGCTCTCTGCCTTATGTAGTTCGCTCGCTAACGGCAGAAGCAACTTTCGTTGCATTGTAATTTCTTTGCCGTGTTCCGAGCAACGCCGCCGCCGCTGCTCTCGAGGCCAAACGAGTCTCGCCGCCCACTTTTTGTTGCGCGAAAGCGGTATTTTATTTCCTGCCCGCCGCGGGATAAATCAACAACAATTAAGTAAGGCGATTCGCCGCGCCAGATAGTTCCAGCAGCAGCGCAAATTGAACGCATAGAGCTGAAAGAGAAAGATTCTTGTTTGCTGCCTGATGAATGCTCATTAAGTTTTGCAGCGAATTTACCTCCGGCCCAGAAATGTCATCTGTAAAAAATACGTTAAATTTTACCTGTTAAACATTAATTACATAAGCTTTGAATCAATATTTTCCTTTGAAAAACGTTTTACCTCTTAAGATTTAATTTAAAATGATTTTTCAAAGCATATTTGAATACATACTTTGTTACATAACAACACACGTTGCAGCTTTATTTGTAAATATAATTCATTCATTGATGATTTGAATTCTTTCTTGGCGCCAAAAGTCACTCTGATAATTGATCAGAGCCGATGTTCAAGTCGAGTAGCTGCATTATTATTGTTGCCGTTATAGTTGCGCTGACCCATTTAGCAGAGCACTCGTAGTGACGCAATTTATTTATTATTTGCTCTCGAACGGCAGCCAGCCGGCGACTGCGAAACGATTCCCTGTGCGAGATGAATTATCCGTTGCCGCCAAGTGAAAGAAGCACCTGACCGCAGAAAAAGCAAGATTTTGTGCAGACCCAAATTACTCTGATCTTTATTTTTCGCCTCGGGAGGCTGTGGGGGAATAGGTCGATTTCTGCGATCAGCACAGTGCAAAATTTCAACAGTGCTTTTTTGCTTTTTACCCAACAACAGAAATTAATTAGCTTGCAATCAGGCATTTATTTATAACGTCTGGATAGGCTGATGAATTAATTGGGCAATAATCCCAGATGATTTGCATGATGGAAATTTTGCAACTTTTTTCTAACAGATCAGCCTGTTATTAGAGGTAAAAATAAATTGTGGGAGCAAAACACGCGAATGAATTCATTTATTGAGCTGCCTATTTTTAACTCTGGTCTAATTGATAGTACTTAATTTGATATTCGTCCTGTGATTAGAAACCGATACTAATCTTTTCCCATCACTCTAGTAGCACTCGATGACGTGCTGATCGATCGGTTGTTGAACTTTGAGCATGCCTTCGAGCTGCTTCTAAACGTCTCAACCTTTGCTTTTCATTTCTATTTGCTAATGAAAACGAATTTGTGAAAACGACCATCCCAATTAACACCGCAAACATTTATTTTGATAACAGCCCCTGTTGTTGTTCATCAAATTTCCTCAACTCCTATATACATCTTGTGATGATACGCGCCGCATACCAAAATGTCGTGACGCCGAATGTGTGTGTTTTCGTTTCGTTCTTTCTCGAATGTTGTTATTTTATTTCTCTCTCACTCTTTTTTAATTGCCCGGCTCGTTTGTTCGCCTCCTTCCCTATCGTTTTTTTATATAATGGGAGCGAACGAAAACGCGTCGGTTGCCTCAGATACGAGGAAAACAGCAACGCGAATAAATTATTTCGGGCGCTCAGTCAGCGCGATTTTATTTGTTATTCCGGAATATTGGATTTATTTTTAGAAGCCGTGCAAACAAGCAACCCGGCACCTACTAACTGCTTTCAAACGCTGTTCGCGACGTGCATAACAAAGGAGACGTGCCGATTTCATATATTTATTTTGCATCAAAGGCTGCAGAGAAAAGTAGCTGGATCGAATTGGGCGTTGGCTATTTTTGTCGCGTCGTTCTGACAAAGGGCACTGCACAGATTATGCCGGAAACCATTAATTTTTGTTATAAAAATTCCACAATTCAATTCAAATTTGAGAAGTTTTTTTGGAATTTTTAGGAAGAAATATTTATTAGCTGATTTGATAAAATTCACGGATAAGTAATTTATTTGCAAGGAAAACTTTTATTATTACAAAGACAAACATTCGAGCTCCATTGTGGTGCTAATAACCTCGCAGCAGAATTATTATTATGGCACTCGGAGCAAGAGTTTGCCGGCGGAGGATGACGCATCGTTTCCTCTCACGCTCTTTATTATTATTATTTTTTTTCTTTCCGCACCGCTTGTGCGCGCATACCAGAGGAGCAAGAAAGAAAAGCTGCTCCCGCTTTTTTGCGCTATATCGGGCGGCGGAATCTTTGTTTAATTTACAAGCGATTATTAATTATGCACGAGCTTCCTTCCTTCCGGTAGGTCATGAGTCGAAATTCGATCTCAAGGTTTCCTTCCAATCGAATTAAAAAGAAACAGAGCATTAGGGGGCCGCACCCTGTTGGCAGTTGGTTTGGCGCGAGAACGATTGTTCCGCGCCCTGTCCGCGGCATGCACCTGCCGTCGTTTGTTCGCGTTATTATTCACACAGAGAAAAACCGCGTGCGTGTTGTCAGTTTTGCGACCCGAATAATGGAATGAACGGCGTCGTGTTTGTGTTTCGAACAAAGGCTCATCCCGGCCGTCACTCGTTTATGCATTTGATATGTATGTACATGGCCACCTTGAATGCTAATAAAGCCGAGCGCGAATATTTTCGTCGGCCGTTTGTTTTGTTTCGATAAGGAAAACGGAGTGTCGCTTTCACTCGAGGGCGCCGCCGTGTGCAAATCGGAGCTCGTATAATGACACTAATTATTGTACCGATTGGGCCAAGGTCAAACGCGTGCGAAACTGGCAGTAATGACCTTACAAACCTTGGGTTGAGTTAAGAAATTTGTCGTGAAAACCGGGTTACGTAATTTTTTCGTTTTGTATTATTATTTAAATTAATTTCAAATTGATTAGGTCTTTTTAGCTCTATTTGATAGCTGCATGTAATGTGACCTCTATGGATCAAAATGTCAAGATTCAACTCTCCCCTGTGGCCTGTATTTGATGCGAAAAGTTCACCATCTGCTTTTTTTCGTCGTTCCAGATGTGGGGAATTTCAAATCTTAATTTGCACTTTTAACAATCTCCAAAGCATATTAAATATTTCACTAAACATTGCTTTTAAGGAAAAGCTTATAATAATAGTCAAATCAGTGCATTGTTTGATTGTTGTACTCTGGAGTTTTACATTGTTTTAATGTGTCGTAAAAGGTCAACGATTCGTTTCTCTTCGTAATAATTTCCCCTGTATTTTTTATATGTGATTTTCAAATTTTGAGCAAAATTGATCGGGTCATTCCTTACTCAAAATTTGAGTTTTTTTCTTCTCGCCATTTTTAGTGTGCTCTTTTATTTTTAAGAACTCCTTATTGACATGTAATCAAATGAAGTCTACAAACAACATGGTTTTTTAAATTTTTTCAAAGATGGCTTTTTTCCTTTTATTGTTGTAAAGACTTGATTTTACCACGTCAATAAAGATTCCTTAATTAAATTCTTTGAAGTCCATTGATTAGTTAATTTTATTTTATTTATAAAATATTAAAATAAGCGTTAAATTAATTAAAAATCAAACTGTGCGACTTTCACTTCCTCTCATTGCAAGTGATGAGTTTCTCGCATATTCTCCATCTCTACGGCAATATGTATGCATCAAAGTACTTCTTGATAAAATAATTATTATTCGAAATGAGGAGGAAGTCGGTCGTGTCACGCTGCAGTTTGAGCAATTTTCTCTGCTCTTGAAGCATCCGCTCGTTTGAACGCATATTATAATTAAACCTCGGGCGCGACTGCTGACTTTTAGATAAACTCGGCTGCGTTGCAAAATTGCCGCCTGTGGGTCACGAAGGGTTATCACTCCGCCTTAAAGCTTTTAAAAGTAGTGCCATTCCGTCTGAAAACGTTCATAATCTGCTCACGGAAACTGGCTAGGACCGTCGCCATAAAACATAAAATCCCCATTCATTTAGAGATTCCGAATTCCCCCGCGAGGTTCCGCCACCGGAAGGCGCTCGACCCGCGCAACACGAACCCCCTGCGCCCCTCTCGCGCGCCTTTCTCGCATAGTTTTCGTTTCGACTTTCGACGACGCTCGTGATCGACCGGCTTAGCTTCACGCGGAGAATTCCCGGCGCCATTGCGACATTTGAAGCATCGCTAGTGTGAATTTTCGGCCCGAACACACCGCCGAACACGCAAATGGAGGTGCTACGCCGGCACCCCGCTCGTTTCGACTTCCAGTGAGTATAAAACATTTGAAAAAGAAAGAATTCGCAGGCCTATCGCACAAGACTCGCTGGCGCCGTGGCCAAGTCTTTCAAATCGAACGAAAATCTGATTCGAATTATTGATATCAGATTGGCTGAATTCATTAGAGAACGTGTCAATTTTGCTATGAATTCTTGTAAAGGGTAGCAATTCATGAGTTGGTGAGAAAAATGAAAATCGTGCAGGGGCCGATCTCGTACCGCATTCTCGGCCATCTTGTCTTTCATTCTTGAGATGCACTACCCGCCTGGGTCACGTAGGCACGGATTTGCATTGCGATTTATTATTTTTTCATGCGTGAAGGGTTTCTTCGAAGCATAATTTTGTTAGGAAAAAAAATGCAACGGATACAATAATTATGTAAAAAAAAAATTAGAATTTATAAATTATGTAACGGCGCTGAGAATCTTGACTGAAAAATTAACATAAAAATTGTAAGATGACTCTAAGCTGATTAATTATCAATCCCACAATAGTAAATTTGTTTCTATTTCCGAGACTAATTTTTGTGTTCTTTCAATTTCACAGAGAGCGGCAGGGAAAGGATGCCGCCCTGATGGCCGCTGCGTACGAGCAGAACAGAGACCGCGCCGTCATGGAAAGGGCCCGCGTCGAGCATGAAATCCGGGAGAGGCGCGAAATGGACAGAGTGCGCGAGGAGCGGTACCTTATTGAAAAGGAGCGGATGGCTCGTGAGGCAAATGAACGGGAACGCCGAGCCCAAGAGCAGGAACGTGAACGGGAACGCCAGCGACAGGCCATGGAGAAGAAACGGCAGGAACAGGCTGTGCACAAGCATTTCGAGGAGTCCCTCAGACTTGCCCAGAATAAGGTGAGAAATTTTTATTAGAAGGAGATAGGTTCGACCCCACATTGATTGTGTGCCCCTGTTTGTTAAAATAATTGTTTTGATGAGAAAAAAAAATCACATTTTGACCGTTTGATTAATTCAATAGGTTTGGAAAGTAAAAAACAACCTTTCTATCCTCGCAATGGTGAGTAAACACAAACACGCGAGTGTTGTTTAGTGTTTGCCTCTTTAGCCGGTTCTGTTCTTTCGTTGTTTGTGTTTTTGCCAAGATTAATTTCGAGATTATAAGGGGCCTATAATTTAATTTCAAAAGGAGAATTTTGTTTCAAACATTTTCATTTAAAAGTATGATGCTTCAAACTCTTTACAATTAAGTCCAATACCAATAATATTTTTTTATAACTTATTTCACTTATTCTATCTAAGTCCTGAAGTTTCCCAGTTATATCAATTTATATAAGTATTTCAATAAACCTGTTATTTAACTCAAAGGATGTATTGGAGAGATTGAACACCACACTCATTTATATTGATTTAATTCTTTCAAAGTTCATTGTTGATTGTTTTCAATTTGTGAATTCCACAACTGACAATTGATTTGATTCTGTTCCTCAGAGGTCTGGTGGAAACTGGAGCCAATTGACAACTCTGCCGCCGCCACCAATGTCCAGAGCAGCACAAGAAGAGGAGGCCCGCAAGCAGGCGAACGCTGCTCAGCAGCAGCGTCTCATTTTGGCAGAGCGTCAGCGTCAGGAGGCTAGGCAACAGGCCTACTATGGATCGGCGCCGCCGAGCACTCAGCCTAGTGCCGTCAGTGCTGTAAGTCTGAATTGTAATCTTAGTGCTTAGGTAATGGGAAGCTTGGTTACAACTGCTTATATCTCTTTAACTAAGTGGCGGTGATGGTATTTTAATGAATATAACATTTTTCATGATTTGGCAATGAAAAGGTGCTTTAGTAAAACTGTTTTACACATCCGGAATGCAAATTAAATCTTTATTTTTAATCCATTTCACAAATGAAGAAATTTCACAAGTGTTTATTTAATATGGTGAAGATGAAATGAACCAAGTTTCTTGAAGCCATTTGAAGACCTTGTGTGATGATTATTTATTAATGAGGATCCAAGTCTGACAATTTTGTGAAGGATTATCATGTTGTCTGACAATTGCATCAGCTATTTGAATCAGTCGTGTAACATAAAATTTTCTCGCTATTAAAATCCCATTTATTTATTTGCTTTCAGATTTCTCTGAGAAAAGAGTACCCGCAGCCCCCAGCTGCACACAGTAGGACTATGCCACCCTCAAAGCACCCGCACTTGCCCGAGCCCAAAGCCATGAAAATGGAGCCCGGATTCAACTCTTTAGGCTACCCTGCCTATCAACCAGCCGGACTGCTGACAACAGTAGAGAAGAAGCCCAAATCAGAACTGCCGAACCCACCCCCTCTGCTCAGTGAGCCAAAGTCCTCTGTGATCGTCAAAAATGAGGCAAAGCGCGAACCATCCCCCATGGTTGGCGCTCCCAAGTACTCCTCGTATCCTGTCAGGACAGCCACCCCCCAAAAGGTGCCTCATCACCTTCCTCAGGCAGAGCCAAGAGCCATGCTCTACCAAACAGGCCCACCATTTGCCACAGCAGGAAAAGGCTCTGCTGTAGCCTACCCTTACACGACTGGACCTCCACCCCCTGCAAACCCCAAATTGTACGGCCAACCACCGTCAACAGCCCCAGCGGCTCTCTGCAAGCCGAAAGTGTCCAGCCCGGCGCCGCAGCACATCTACGGCCTACCGACGCAGGTGCTAGGCCCGCCCTCTGTGTCCAGTCACCACCACCAGACAGCTGAGGTCCCTAGTCCACTTCCCTTGAATGCGTCACAGCCGCACCACTTGGCCAACAAGTCGTACCTTGCTCCGCCACCTGCCCACTCCAGGAGACACCTGGACCATGTCAGAGCGATGGACCACATCAGGGTATTTCCTCCAGGGACGCCGTCGCCCTCGCCAGGGGCAACTCCTGCACCCAGGGCGTCGCCTCTTCCCGTCCTACCATCCCAGAGGACTGCTGCACCCCCTGTGTGCCAGATGCAGCCTCTTGACTTGGGGTGCAAGGACCCCTCGTCCCCTAACAAGAGGTCAGCACCTTCGCCTGACCCCAGCAAGAAACGCAGGGTTGAGACTCCGCAGCCGCCTCCTGTTCAGCCCAGCCCCACGCCACCACCAATGGCCGCCTCCCCGCAACTTTCAAGGGTTAGCGAGCCGTCTCCGTTGATTGCCAGCGCTGCCACCACCATCACAACAATTGAAAACAAGGCTGTTGCTGCTAGCGCAGCAGGAGGGGCAGGAGTGATCCAGAGGCCTCCCTCCGTGCCTCAGCCCTCGCCAAGCACAACCCCAAACAAGGCGCCCAGTCCAGCCCCTACCAAGTCCATCCACGGCCTCAAAAAGGCCTGGCTGCACCGACACACTACAGGTATGTCCAACTTTCAAGTAGTTGACGTGTTTAAAATGATTTAATGATGAGAACTGATCCAATTATGATCAGGATGATTTTTCTATCTTAACGAGCTTTTTAACCCTGAAAATCTACTATAATTTGAGGTATATTAATCTCTGTTAGTCCTTTTTATCTACAATATGTACTCAATTCAACTGATTTTATCTGTCCGATACCGATACCTTATACCCTGCTAACTTTATGTATCAAAATAGTTTATCTTAAATGCGGTTTTAAGTAACTATTTAAGTTTGTTGGATTTTGATTAGATGTACCTCAAATACTTGTGATTTCCAGTTCTTGAAAGAGTTGAAAACTTGATAGATTAAAAACTTATGTAATTTGTCTACAGGTGAGGATGTTGTCGGAGAACCAAGGTGTGTGACTCCTGTGACGCCAGCAGCGCCTTCGCCTGTTCCGTGCAGTAGTCCTGTAGCAACGACGCAAGTACCTGCCTCGCCGCCCCAGCCAAGCACGCCCAAGGGAAAGGCAAAGGTGCCCTTCCGAAAGGCAACGGCCTCTGTGAATCCAAGCATGCTGAATGGGCATGGCCCCGAGTCAGGCCAAGAGGAAGAGTCAACCAGTTCAGACGAACCTGCGACTCAGGCTAAACGCTCGCCAGCCAAGCGGAAACCAGGGGGCAAGCGCAGGAGAGGGGGCAAGAAGACTGCCGTCCAAGAGGAGAAAAACAAACGCCGAAGCGTAGTTGGCGCCGCCGCTACCGCAGCCAGCGACAGTGACAGTGACAAAGAGAGTGGCACTGAAAAAGACTCTGAGGACTCTGCGAGTTCGAACAAGCGTGGAGGCGGCAAAGAGGCCTCTGGAGGCTCAAATGGAGGCGGCTCGTCCAACAATTCTGGTGGAAATTCTGGTGCTAAGAAGCGCGGTCGACGTCCCAAGTCAAAAAACGACGAACCTAGGCCTCCAAAGAAGGCCAGGGGCGCTGGTGGGAATGATGATGGATCTCCAACTCCCCCTCCGAGAGATCCTACTAAAAAGCCACCCATCAGTCAGCTTAAGAAGACCGGGGAAAGTTTTTTGCAAGACGGACACTGCTTCGAAGTTGCACCCAAGCTAGCTAAATGTAGAGAGTGCCGCCTTACGCAGAACCAGCGCAACAAAGAAGTGTACAATAATATTTTCTGCAGGTTCTACTACTTTAGGCGATTAAGGTACACAAAGAACGGGCAGCTAGCCATTGCAGGCTTTTCCGACCCGCACTTGGACGCAAAAGAGGTGAGACCCGCACTCCATTCCCATTCACACCCAATCTAGTAACTACTTCTTAAGTGCTCTCGTTATTTCGCAATAGTGAGTTGACCGTTGCCTTGCTCTTAGTGTTCACTCTCACTGTCGTGTCAACGTTTTTATTGTTTTATTTATTTTGATGTTTAAAATTCAAATAATGAAATTAAAATTTCAAAAAAAAAAATTGCACTGGAATTTTTGTTTATTGTATCTTCAATTTTTAACCAATTTCTTGCATTTTTTTTACTTTTTTATTTCTCTAAATGTAAATCTGGTCAAATCGTTTTCCATGTCTTAAATTCTTTCCATTTTTAAATTTTTCAGTAGCAGAGCCTGACTGAATCAATATCTTACTTGCTCCAAAATTCATGCAAGAAATTGGTAAATTCAAAGGTTCGAACAATCCCTTCAAGTCTTCTCTATTGTTTCTGTACGTTTCTCAGGCGAGTTCATGGTGAAATTCTTTTTTTCAGGAGGATGTTAAACTTTGGACGCCAGACGCGACGCCAACCGACATTGACCCTGGAATGGCAAAGTTTTTGCTCACTGAGGTTGGCGACCAGTTTTGCGACATTGTTCAGCAGGAGCTAGAAGCCAAAGAAATCAGTATGGCAAAAGGTGAGAAATCATTATAAAACGATAAACAAGCAACCCTGCGTGCTGCATGGTTTTCTATAATGTTTTTTGTGTGATGATGATATCCAATTAACAAACCTTATCTGATATGTGAAGGATTTGTAATGAGCTTTTTAACCGTCTGAAAAATTATTTTTTTTACCATGTAAACTGAACTGTGGTTGTTAGATTTTGGAAATGAATTGTTGATGCTTTTGTTACAGACAAGAAAATCGTTTGGAAGAAGGTTGTGCAGAAAGTAAGAGAGATGTGTGACGTGTGCGAGACTACTTTGTTCAACTTCCACTGGGCCTGTGACAAGTGCGGATTTGTTGTCTGCATTGACTGTTACAAGGTAATTATTGCTACAAATTCTGAACTTAAAAATTACTAGTGTTTAATTTTATTGATTAGTAGGGAAATAGATTTTACAATAAGTGCAAGTTCATACCTTAACTTAAATTCTTATGCCAGTTATATGATGAAAAAATGATCCAATTATGATAACTATGATTTTATTCATCAAAACGAGCTTTTTAACCCTGAGTATCTGGCAAACTTTAATATTAAATGATTTTCATAAACAATTATGGAAAGGGAGCTTAATTTTGTTACTTCTTTGTTACAGAACCGTAAGAATGGGAAGTGCAAGCGGTGGGAAGATGCAAACACCAAGGACCGAGATGACTTCCTTTGGCTGCTCTGCACCAACAAGCAGGGCCACGAGCTGGAGCGGCTGATGTTGACTCAGATAATTGTCAAAGATGCCCTGACTGCCCTTGGCAGGAAGATGCATGACATCCGGTCCCAATATGGTATTAAAGCCAGGTGCGCTTGTCCTTTGAACAAGGAGGTCGTCAAGGCAAACGGCATCTGCAAGGAAGTGCAGAGCAAAGCGGATCTCAATGGCACTGAAAAATCAACCAATGGAGGTTCAGAGCCCACCTCTCCCAAGACAAACGTTAATGGCGAGAAGGAGGCTGAAAACTCTCCTTTGAGTGTCTTAGCTGATGTTGCCCTTTCCTCGGACAAGAAGGAAGACTCCGTCCAAGAAGCAAAATCCCCTGAGAAGGAGAGTCTGCCTACCCTTTCTGGATGGGACTCGAGTGACTCCGACTCTGATGGAGACAAGGATGAGGCAAACTTTTCCACCCTTCGAGAACTCCTGATCCGCCGGCCGTGTAGCAAGTCTCAAAGTGGATCAGAGTCACCGACTGGTGCCCAACAGGAAGAAAAGTCTGATGACCAGGCCGAGGATGACAAGGACGAAAAAGAGTCTCCAAAGCAGAGGCGCGAGCTAAAGAACTTTAAGCGCAGCAAGGAGTACCGTGTGACCAACAACCGCCTTCCTTGGAGGGTTATGACCCTGACCAAGAGCAAGTTGCTGTACCCCAATGTGCCACATCAGTGGCAGTGTGACGGACGGCTGTTGGTGTTGACGGACGCCTCCCATCGAGACAACAAGAAAATCTTCCAGGACCAGTGGAAACGAGGCCAGCCAGTGATTGTCCTGAACGTGGCTGCCAAGCTGAACCAGCAGTTGTGGCACCCAGACAAGTTTGCACAGGACTTTGGAGACCAAAAGGCTGACCTGATCAACTGCATGAGTGGCAACGTGGTTCCCAACATTGCTATCAGACACTTCTGGGAGGGTTTCGAGCAGTACAGCAAGCGGCTGAAGGACAAACAGGGCAACTCGATGATTCTCAAACTGAAAGACTGGCCACCTGGCGAGGACTTCGCCGACATGCTTCCAGCACACATGCAAGACCTGATGGAGGCTCTGCCCCTCAGTGACTACACACACCGCAACGGCAAGCTCAACATAGCCTCTAGGTGCGTACTAAAATTATTTATTTCAAAATTGCACTTCTTGTTTGGCGTGAAGATAAACTTTGTCTTCAAGCCCAGAATAAGTGCCATAGCACTATGCCAAAGTTACTGAGTGACTGGCTTGTGTGCCACAAACTTTCATGCTTTTGCACATTTCTTCAATTTTCGAGGTAAAATGCATTTATCAATGGAAACCATTGATAAAAGAATTTTACCATTGAATGGGTTAGTAAATATTATAGTTATTTAATTAGACAAGATATAAAAATTTTCATTTTGGCTTTATAAAAATTTGATGTGACTGAATTATTAGTATTAAATAGTAATTGGAAGAAATATTAAATTCTCTTTGTCCTTGTTCCAGGTTACCCGAGTATTTCGTGAAACCAGATCTCGGGCCAAAGATGTACAACGCTTACGGCTCTTCCCTCTTCCCTGACAAAGGGACCACAAACTTGCATTTAGACATATCCGATGCGGTCAATGTGATGGTCTACAGTGGCTGTTGCAAGGACCTAGACAATGAGGACAACATGAAAGCTGCTCTGAAAGCCATCGATGAAGCAGGCTGTGATGTTTTGACAAGAAGAAGGGTCCGCGAGAAGGGTGTCATTCCTGGTGCTCTTTGGCATATCTACGACGCTGCAGACGCTGATTCAATTAGAGATCTACTGAATTTGGTTAGTTTGAAATTTATTTTACTGCATAAAGTTGTGTTTCACATAAGAAATGGCAATGAGCATCATAATAATATAATTAATTTTTTGTTGCAGCTTGAAATTGAGAATGGAAAGGTCCCTGATCCAAGTCACGACCCAATTCACAACCAGAGTTGGTACCTAGACGAAGTTTTGCGTGAGCGGCTGTACCTAGAGTACAATGTGACGGGGTATGCCATTGTGCAGTGCCTTGGAGACGCGGTGTTTGTGCCTGCGGGCGCACCACACCAGGTGCGCAACTTGCACAACTGCATCAAGGTGGCCGAGGACTTTGTGTCCCCGGAGAATGTGTCGCACTGCTTCCAACTCACTCAGCAGTTCCGAGAACTCTCCGACACGCACACCAACCACGAGGACAAGCTGCAGATCAAGAACATCATATACCACGCAGTCAAAGACTCTGTGGCGGTGCTCACCACACAGCTCATGAACAATCCTGAAGCGGTCAATGAGCCAGAAAGCGCTGAGGACGACAAGAGCTCTGTCAAAAAAGGTGAGGTTCAATGATTTGTGAATTCAAATGAGGAAATAAAGAGCATATGTTAAGATAAAAATATCTAAATTTGGTGGTTTCTGAAGACTGTGTTACCTATTGTGGACTGTAGAAGTTTTTCATTAGAATAACAATTAAAAGTAACAATAATAATAAAGTTCAGTTTAGTAAACTGATTTGATTAAGTAATTTAAATCTCTTGAAGCTTTATTGTTTTGTTAAATATTGCAAGGGCAAACCATTCATCTATTTTCACATTCATAATTTTGTTTCCAGTCACTGAGAAAAATGAGAAGTCTGAAAGCGGGTCTGACAACAATGCCGGCACAGTTTCCGATGACCAGTCTGAGAAGGGGAAAGAGGAACCAGCCTCGTCTTGTACACCGCCTGCCGCTCCAGCAGCTGATGAGGTCAAGAAGGAGTCCAACAGTGGTTCCAACTCATCCTCCTGAGCAAGAACAACGACTTTAAATTATAAGTCATGTGATAAAAAGTTAACTCCCGAATGAAGAAAGCCTGCCTGCAGTGTGTTAAAGACTCGAATGAAAAAGAAAAGCCATCAGCTGAAGCTCACGTTTTGTGTCTTAAAAAAGCAAACACACGCGTGTAAATAAGAATTAATAGGAAGCAAGATACTAAGAAGTTAGGCAACAAGCTCAAAGTTGATTGAAATCGAGAAGAACCCGGAAGTACAGCAATCACTCTGTAAAGTTTTAACATATTTGATCTCAGTGTGTTGAGGATGAATCAAGAATTGGTTTGTTCGTTCGTTTGTTGGACGCTTTCGGTTATTTGGAATTCAAGTGTTTTTCCAGACGGCAACAATCTGGTTTCCCTCCTTCAATCTCTTTATCTCTCCGTGTGAGCCGCTGCGCACAGTGTCTCTTTATCGATGTTGGTGGCAATGTTGGAAACTATCTAAATCCATTTGATTGTGTTCCTCATTGTCAAACCGTCTGTCTCTCAATGTTTTTTTCTTCCAATCGATCAACCATGTGCCAACCAAACTACAGTCGCTGCATTCGTTTGAATAATTTGTGAAAATTATTCCCGCTTGTCCAAACTTATTTTCACACTCGACTCAGCGTCAGAGAAATGCATTTCCTCATAACATGAAAATAAGTTCCTATGGTTCGTAACGGAATGGAAAACTTGATTTTTGTCACCACAAATGAATTTCGAAAGGTTTGTCTAAGAAACTTTCTTGTAAAAGCTGATAAATATTTAATGTATTCTCTCAAAAGAAGGACTATATATTTATTTTCAAAAATTTCCGAGTGGTCTTTGATCGGCATAAGATTGGTGTTAATTTTCTACAAGGATTGTACCATAAGAATTGTGAACACAATATTTTAAATTATAGGTTTTCTACGATGTAAATAAATTATCAAAGTGATTCTTGCAAAAGGATTCATATGTTTATTATGGTAATTTGATGGTTTTTATTTATTTTTTCTAATCCCTATTAAAATTAATCAAATAATTGGTAATAACAGAGACGAGACATTGTTGTGTCTCACTCATATCATTATTATTTTTTCTCCGTTGAATGACGCATTCAATTTGCAAACAAATTAAACTTACTTAGTGCCTGAGGCTCATGCAAATAAAAATCATAAAAATATACACAATTAAAATATTGTACTACCAGCATGCAGGGAGTATTTCATACTGGTTGAGAAAATTAGTGATGTAAATTAGAGGCGCAAGCTTTTCAGGAAAATAATTCAAGCTTATGGTTTATATAATCAAGTAAAACGTCTTGATAGTATGTATGTTTAATAAAAGGTATTTTAAATAATTAAAAATTTTAAAAAGGAATAAAAAGTATTCTTCTATTAGTGGAGATAAAAGCTGGCGTTTAAAAATTTGTCTCTTTTTCCAATAGCGCAAAAAAACAGTGTTTCCTTGAACTAACAATATTGATTCAACTATGCGCTTGAAATTATTTGCTCTGTTGCGATACACCTCTGGTTTCTTAATGAAAAACCAGTTTCTCATATTCACATTATGACATCATTGCAAAAAGACGCGTCTTACATGTTGTGGGTTCTGCTGAAAAATAAAGAAACCGACCAGCAGCTAAGACAATAAAAGATATACGGCTATGAATAGAATAAATAAATAAATAATCCTTATGACTTATGCGCATTTACTGGGAATAAATCGTGCTCATTTTAGACAGAAATAGTTGACCCTGGTTTTGTTTTGGAAGAAGAAGAAGAAAAGATATAAAATTTCCCCAACTAACATTTTAATTTTCCTCTGATTTAATTAAAATTTAATAATGTTCAGTAATGAGATAAGTAGTTCAGGTTTAACTGATAAAACAAACGCAAAAATGCATTGTAAGCACATTAATCGTTTGGAGTACTGGTGAATTATTATTATCATTGTTGTTTATTCTACTCAAGTTCTGATGAAAAAAATTGAATTGGAAGAAAAAATGAGCGAAAAGGGTATCACAACTACCAGCCAGTGAAAATATCCTTTATTCATTTTCTTATTGTTGTTTGAAGTATTTTGTGTATAATTTTAAATGAAATTATCTAATTTAAAATTCATCAATCAAATTTAATTTGTGATGAGGCAGCGCGAAACATGTCTGCGCCCTGCCCTCCCCGCGCGAGCGGTGGCTGCTGCGCTCCTCTCTTTCCTTGCAAATCCTCCCTTCCTCATTCGACTCCATCCGAGGCAGACCAAAGCACAGCCCGCCGCAGACCAACACACCAGACGTGCTCCAGCCTGCGAGAGATGGAGCGAGGCTTGTTGCTGCTGGTCGCGGCCACTTTGATGGCCGTCGTGACTGCCGACGGCGGCCACACCTGCTCCGGCGACAAGCTGACCATCTACAAGGTGGTGGTGAGCACCTTCTGGACCAGGGACACCTTCCCCAAACACTACCCTGACTGGCGACCGCCTGCACAGTGGTCCAAGACCATAGGTGAGTTTTTCTTCATTACTTAAAAAAACAAAAACCATTGTTCCAGCAATGGTTAATTTCTAAAGAGTTTTGCACTAAAAATTTCATATTTCGTTGGAAAATTATAAAAAAGCTACCTTTTTCAATGATCTTAACTCTACATGAATAAAGAATTTAAAATTGTTTTTACATTACATGATCTATTTTTGGCGTTTTTTTTTTTTTATTTCAAAATTTATTTTCAATTTTTAAAACTATTTTTAATTTTAACTCATTGCTTATTTGGTGGGTTGATTAATTAATTCAGCTGGGCGGCATAACGATGAGATGTTTTTCTCTAAGGGTTTAAGATTTCAGATCCTCATTTTATCTCAGGCTCGGCTAATAATTTATCCAAAATTTAAACATATTAAAACTCAAAATAAAATAATGCCATTTCTAAATTGACGATGAAAATTCAATTCAAATTTTATTTAATGCAAGATTTTAGAAAAATTTTCAAATCAATTCAAGTTAAAATTTTTTCCTTCAGATTTGTTTGCGTTAGGTTGTTTTAGCTGTGGTAACATGATTTGATTAAAATTTATAGAATGTCTTGAAAGGTCAAAACAAAATATTATGTAATAATTTTAATTATTCATATTCTGCAATTCACCAAGAAAATTGCTTTTAAATTGACTATTATAATTTTATCTGCTGGGCGAACCGGTTTTTCGCCCCACAAACTCTCTGCCTCCATTTCATAATTAAACGTTCTCGCTCGTATTGAAATTTGCCAAGGGTGGCTGTTGTTAAACAAAGTTTTGATGGAAGTGCTAAATAAAGCAGCGGAAACCGCTCCCCAGACACCCTTTGATGCTTTTGAACGCGCTTGGTCCGTTCGTTGGTCCAATTGAAATTGCGCAACGCGACCGAGACGCGCACACCTAGCGCTGGCACTCAACCAGAAAACGCGACTCTTAATATTAGATTGGACGCCTCCCGCGAGATCAGTCGACGCGCGGAAAAACAATTACACGTGCAGCCGCGCGAGAGAATGAGATGCGAGAATGGGCGCCAAAATTGTATTAGTCCCGCGGGTGCAGTGCGAGCGAGCCGGCGCTTTTAAAAATACGAATGTTTTAAAAGCATCAAAAATGAGAGAAAAAAACAGGAGCGAGAGCTTATGTTGAATATAAATACAAAGGCTTTACTCAAAATGTTACAAAAATAGACAAATACAAGAAAGCCTTTTAACAATTAAAAATAATTGTTATTTTCATCCAGGGATTAGAAAATAGATATTTGTTGAAAATTAACTAAAATGCAGAATGATGTAGAAGACAAATATACCTTTTGCTAGATAAAATTGGAATCACCTATTTGACATTGCAATAAATCACTTATTTTTTTATAAATAGTAACACAAAATTATTCTATTTTGAGTTTTTCCATCATTTAGCACCACTTGTTTTTAAATTTCAGCTAAAATCACTAATTGTCAGGCGAGTTTTCCATTTAACAAATTTGCTCCCATAAAACAGCTCCAAACACATAATTTGGTCTTTTCAACTTTTTTTAACTGTAATCAACTTTTGTCATCTATATATCAGCTGAATAAAATCGCCTAAATAAGCACCTATTTCGCCCATAAAATAATTTTTTTAACAAAGCTTAATTTAATGCCATGTTTCTTAAATTATCTACATTGCATGAAAGTTTATGCAACTTTTAGCTTCAACTACAACTTATTATTATGAAATCGGGAGATAATTTTTCTTATTCTTTGCATACTTTTGTTTTTATGAGTCCAGGATTAATTGACAGCCCTTATTTTGATGTGACATGGTAAAATATGCATTTTTGTCTTTCACCTGCCGCTAAATTTTAATTTTTAATATTTACTTCACTTCAATAAATGTGAGCAATGAGCCCCTGAAAATTTTTCAGACCAATTGAAAAGAAAAATTATCTTGATGTTTTGGCAAACACCAGAGACAATTGTTCCAAAATAGAAAATATCTTTTAGAATACCAATAATATTGTATAATATTATTGAAATAGTAAATTTTTAGATTAAATATAAACGTTAATGAAAAAAGAAATTTATAAATATCAAACTAAATTAAAAATTTACATAATATATTATATTTATTTCAAAGCTTTGTTTATAAAAACTCGCTTACAATTAGGCTGATGAGTTAATTCTTTTTTTCTGAATCCATTAAAATTTCACCATTGCAATCCTATAATATTCAAAAATTTGAAAATGATTTTTGACAATATTATTTATCGAAGCTATTTTTTTATCTATAAAACTAAAAATGCTATATTTCAACGAAAAAGTATGTAGGACCTTTTTAAACAATGCCGAAGCCCTTGGATTTAATTTATACGTGTTTTTGCAATCCTGCGCAGATAATATTGTTGCTGATTCACAGTGTGTTGAGTTTATGGCAAAATAAACACTTATGCAGACTCATAACATTCAAAAGCCTCTTTCCAATATTTCTCTTTCTGTAACAGAAACAACACAGACGAGATTTTTTTTTAAAGTCGCCCACTCTCTGCTCATATTTGAGTTTTTCTTAACACTCGTTAGCCGCGGCTCCAAATATTATTTTTGCTTCTCGCACACGAGGCGACGAGCGAAACACTTTGGGCTCGATCTCTGGCGCGACCTTTTTTTCTTTTTCCTCTCTCGGCATGAGTTTCGAAAAATCGACCGGTCACGACGCGGCGTCGTAGGAAGCACACGAGCGCGATCAATCACGCCAAAAAGGTTTAAATTAAGCGCGAATTCATCTCCCTCTCTCGTTATTAATAAATATCAAAAGAGAGAAGAAATAAATAATATTTTTATAATGCACGTTTCCTCGTGCGAAATGAAGCGATTTATCACTCGGCTGCTGCTGGGCGAAAAAATAATTTTTTTTTCATCCTTGAACCCAGCTAGGCCGGCAAACAATGAAGGGAATTCGCGGCATCTGGGTGGAAAAATAAATGCACGGCGACGCTGATTTACAAACTCGCCCTTTGATCTGCTTACGGTGCCGTTAATTTTTTCCTCGCCGAATAACATTTTTCGGTGAAGGCGCGGTGAAATGCAAATTAAGCAGCTCCACCCACGAAATCGCGCGCGATAACCCGTGCGGAAAATCTGCTCTTGATAAATCTCGCGGGTCCATCTGGTCGCCCCAGCCGCGAATAAATTAATGGACACACCTGCGCGTGCGAAACCCTCCAAGGTTAACAACTGCGGAGAAAGCAGTAAATATCCGCGGCTTTGTGACCTGCCGCCGCCGCCATCAGCAGGAAGCGCAGCTCGTGTTTCGGACACACGCGGCGGACCAAGCGGAAGAAGGAATTGATTCACCAAGTTTTTTTCGTTGCTTCGTTAGAAACGTAAATTATTTCCCATCGCTCACACTTCCGTCATTCAGTTAATAGTTAAAATAAATTGTCGAAAAGTACTCAACAAAAATTATTTATTATTATACAAAATAAGGCTTTATTATTTTTTATAATTACGAAAAATTTGTCTTTTTTAATTGCAATTTTTAGTTAGTAAGAATTTCTAAGAATAAATATACAATTTTTCAAAGAATGTAGTTGTTATTGTCCGCGTTTCAATTGAAAATTTGGATAAGAGGTAAATTCTGGAGTTTCAAAATCAAGTCCTTACAACAATATAGACTAATTTAGCGCTTTTTATTTATTTTGTTTAATTTTATAGTTATTTAAAAATTTTCCTTTGTAAGTTTTGTGCTGAGAATAAAAATAAATACATTTTGAGTTTATCATAGGTATATTGATAAGAAGGATAAAAAAATGGATAATAGCAATTGCTAAAAAAATAAATATTGCACATAATTTTATTTTTTTGTACTCATACTTACTTACTTACTTTCATTTATTACTTTTCAGTAATTAAAATTAGTATAACTTACCATATTGCATTGCTATAAAATAGACTTGCAATTGAAAGGTCTTGCCATTTTTTTTTTGTAATAAAAACAATTTTCACAACGAGGACAAGTCCGATCTCATCATCTCGATGCATTTCCTTTTTATTTATTTTGGCTGTGTTTGGGTTTTTATTTTATTAATTTTTTTCTATTTCTTTACGGAAGAGGACCACACACTTGGCCTCCGGCCCGCGAGAGCCAGGTGGTCGCGGATGGTGCGACTTGACTCATTTACGACGTGAAAAAAGCAGTCTGCAGTTTATTTGGCAAATAACATTGAATGCGACGCCGCGATTTTTTGGCACAACATTCGCGCACCTTCTGTTTTCGTTCCGACTGCGGCACAAAACGTGCGAAAGAAAAACAATCAGTCCGTGCCAGACTGGCTGACGCCCTGCTTTGTTGAAAAAAATTTGCAATCGGCCGAAAGGAAAAATAAAACGGAAAGATTCTTATTGCAAGCAGGTGGGACGCTCGGAATAAATTGAGAAATATTATTTATAAATTTATTAAAAGCAATTGAGCGAAAATTTGGTACACGTGCAGTGCAAAAAGCAGGGTTCGCCGACCGCATTATTTTTCTTTGGAAGGCAAACACGCCGACTTGACTCTGGAGCCGTGGGTTTAAAACTCTCGCCGGCACACTGCTTATTGCTTGGATGAATGAAAGATTTGAGCAATCTGAGGCCGACCTGTCTATTCATTGACCAATAACTCATGTATGAGAAAAACATTCCGCCTCTTAATTACAGTTTTAAGGATGGCTTCATAATTTTGACACAAATCAATCAAGGAAAGGGATTCTGCTAAAAAAAAACCGCCTGATTAATGTTGATGATAATTTTTGACTAAATTCCACGGTGACAGCGACACCATAAGATAAATTCAATTTATTTGGAGGAATGAATTTTTGAATTGTCTTTAATTATCAATTTACTCAAAATTTGGCAAATTAATTTTTTTTTAAATTCATCAACCAAAGCTCATAGCACCCCAATCAAGTTAGCAAATTATATTATAAAGATATATATAGTTACGCATCAACTTATACATTAATTCATTTTTATTGGAAACGGTTCAGGAAACTATTTTCTTTTTGGGCCTTATTAAATTGCAGTTTTTTTTTTTAATAAATGACCGAATTTGAACATTTCCATATCAGAAGCTTTGTGTTGAAATATTTTTGAATTTTATATTTAAATTTCATTTAAAGCGGATTTTTTTAAAGGAGTGTAAAAAAGGTGTGTCTAAAAGTCCCACACGCAAAACGTGTCACTCACGCAGAAGCCGCAATAAAACACATTTACGAGCCGCGCGACAAAACTTAAAAGCCCTCCTCACTTTTATCGCGGACCACTTCACAACTAATAAATCCGATTGCGGGAACCGCATCTGTCTCTCTATATGTTTTGTTTTCGTGGTTCCCGGAAGGCGATGAAGAATGACGAGCAAAATGTGTGAAGCATTGTTGCATCCCTCGAAGGCGTCGCACGCGCCTCAATCTGCTTTTTTTATTAAGAAGCAAGAAGAAGTGTGAGAAAAGGCCAAGGCAAAAAGTGTCAAGGCTTCGTGCACTCTGCGGGAAGAAAAAGTGCATATACGAGATCCGCTTAATAAAAACACGCCATTACAATTAACAAGACAAATGGTTTATTCCTCTCGAGTTACTTCAATTGAGCCGCTTATTAACATTCCATTTTTCTCACTTTGCTTGAGCGTGGGAGATCAACACGCTCGCTCGTTAACCCGCTCTGAGATCATAATGAGCATGAATCGCAAATTTCCATTGGTGCGAGGCAAAATTGGTTTTATCAAAATTATCGCTGGTTGGTGGTGCCTTTTTGACCAACTAATCCTTTTTTTAAATAAATTCATTAAAAAAAAATGGAAAACTATAATGAAAACTATGTGACGTAAAAATTGGACAATAAGCAACATAATAATAATGGTAGACTTCCACTTATTTTTTGCATCTGAATTGACTGAATTGATTGAATATTTATTTAAATTAATTTATTCCATCCAGATTAAATCAAAACAAGTCATTTAGGAAAAATATAAATTACATTGGGAGAAAATGAGGTACTAGAATTCATAAGAGTCAAATTGAAAGTAAAAGTGTTTCAAAATTAAACTAATTGAGAAATTATCAATTATTCGTAACTTTCAATGATATAAACAACCTTAAGAACCTAACCTCAGCAATGGCTTTCAAAATTGTAAATCTAATTAATAAATTATGCCCCAACTTTACGTCTGAAGCTCTACAGCTCCAAGTCCTACTTTCACTTAAATCGGTTTTTTAATTTCATGAGACAAAATATTAACAAAATTAAACGCAATAATTGTAAATAGAAACAGCAATTCCCAATTTTACATAAATTTAGAGCATGAATTTTGCTTTTCTTCTACAGAATAAACATTATTTTGGCATCAAGCAAGATATATCTGCAAAAATTTTCTGCTAGACCTTATAATCAAACGCCGCGATTTATATAAAATGCTAAACTATTTCCAATTCTGTCAATCATACAATGGTGATGCAATTTTCGGGGGAAATGAATTTTGTTCACTTTTCTTTATTTTTTTGCCCAACCAACTAAAAAACAAATGAGTCACAATGGGATCTTTATATCTTCCGATGGATAGATAGACGAAGGACGAACGAAGCACACAAATTTTGGCGCAGAGTGGCAGAAAAGAGCGCCAAAAGAACAATCGACGAATCTTTCTGGAGAAAAGTTGAAAATAGAAGTCTCGCGAGCGATCGAAAAGCGGCACATAAAGGCAGAAAAAAGTTAAAACAACAGAGGGAAATTGAGCACGTACGCGCGGCCGAGAGAGCAGATGCGCCGCCAAAAATAACAAAACGTGCGCTTTCGAGAGGAGAAGCAAAGAAAGAAACCTGCGGTGCTTGCGAGGCACATTTCGCGCTTTATTGGCGCGGCGACCTCGCCTCCTAATTGTTGCTTGTCTTCGCCGCGATAATTGCGCGGGTGGGTGGGTGGATGGTGCTCATCCCGCGAGCAAAACCTGCTTCTATTGTGGTTTCCCTTCTCGGTTTATTGCGCGCCGGCGAGCCGTCCGATGAGTCAATCGGATTAGCCCAAATTGTAAATTCGCCACCGCGCCTTCGAATCGAAAGGTTAGAAACCTTCTAGACTCTATAATCGTCTTAAAAAGGGTTTAGAGAAACTTTTGTGCCAGTCGAGATTTATGCCAAACTTATAATTTATAAGCTCTTGATATAAAAACTTGCAATAATAAAGCTCAAAGAAATACTCACTTGGTTAATATTAAGAGAAAATGTGAATTTATCTCTCTGATGGTCGAGAGTGAAAAAGATTCTTGTGAAAGAAATCAATTGAAAGGCATAAGTTAAATTATACTCAAAATAAAATTGTAGCTCGCTTAATATATTATAAATAATAACTATTGTTTTTTTCTAATTGTTAGATAAGATAAGTTGGTTTTATCCTACATCCAATTATTGAATAATAGACCCATTACATTTTTTATCATTCCATCAAAATGGCTCATGGGAATGTGCTCAGGGGTTATTTAGGAAGTTTCTGGTTGAATGAAAACTAGGATTTTCACGTAGCACTTCCACACACAAAGTATTAATTAATCACCCTCACCTTGATTAATCTTAAATAAGACACAATAACCACGAAAAGTTAAAATTATTTTTCTTCTAGCATTTTTTCAAGCGTTTTTTTGCTTCTTTTTTATTGAAAAACAAACTTGTTATTGACAGGTAAATATCTAGTAACTTGCAAAAGAAAAATTAAACTTTTTGTGTGTTTATCTGGTGGTCAGAAAACTAGTTATCTTGTTTTTAAAGCAAGTTTGAATCGAATTTTTCACGACTCAGTTCTTGCAGGGAGCTTTTGTAATTAGTAAATACGTTTTTTTTTAAACTTTGGAGGTTGAATTTGAAAGAGAAGTTCTAAAGGAAATTCTATTATTTACGTGTTGCAAGTGCGAGAGATGTGTGCGATCAATCACTTGCCTTTCCGCACCTCTCTGGCTTCGCTTTTTGTCTGGCGATTGGCGTGCAAGCAAAGAAGAGCACATCAATCGGAGCAAAGTTGTTGCACATTTATTTGCAGCTCAAAATTAGCGTCGGCCTTGAAAGAGCAAAAGCAAAACACCCATTGCTGCACTCGCATATCTTCAAACGAAACCATCGCAAATCGAGTGATGAGAAGTTGGCAGACGCGGAGGCGCCGAGAGCGAACCTCGACTTTTCTTCTCTTTTCCATTCTCGCGGTGATGTCTCTGGAGAGTCCGAACACACAGACGAGCCAGTCGTTCGATTAAATAAACGCGAGACGAAATAAGGCTGCGACTGATTTAATGACACGAGCCCGTGTCTTGCTCAACAGGCGTCGAAAGTCGAAAAACGCCGGCCGGTGTTCGCTGCCAGATAAATTTTAATAGGCATCGTTTGTCTGCCGATCCCTTTGAACACACAAACGAAATGAGACATCTAGTTGAATAAAATTTCAATCGAAAAAACCCGATCGCATTTCTGGATCCGCAATAGAGGTCACCTAAAAATGGGCTGTTAACAACTTGTTGGCTGCGAAAAGCGTAATAAATTTTAACCCTTTGGAGTTATCTCGGGATATCATTTATTCTGCTTGAGCTTAGCCTATTTATTAATCTCCCCCAATATCAGCTACTTATCATATCAACATTCTGTAATAATAACTATATTGCACGAATAAGAAATTTATAGTTCATTTATAATTTTTTAGCACACCCAGACTTTGTGAAAATTTAATTTTAGTGAGAAATAAGGCATGAAATTTGATTCGTAAAATTTGATTAAATTTAATATTTTTAATGAAAAAATTTTCGTTGAAACACCAATGGCATACATATACGTACATGTTATACAGAACGCGATCAAAGAGATGAACTTAAATTATTCAGAGTTTAATTTTCGACGCTTCTGAAAGTGTTAAAATACAACTCACTTTACAGCAAAGAGATTAGAGTCAATTTTTTAATGGCAATACGTACATTTACATTGTTTATTTGCGGCTGTATGCTAGCTTTTATTTTTAAAGAATATATGTTGAAAAATTGGCGTTTTTTGATAATATTATAGTTTTTTTTTTTTAATTTGTCAAGATATTATTAAATGCAAAAATTTATGCGAATTTAGTTATAACATTACAAATTTTCTTTTTGATGGATTTAAGTGAAAGGAGCTTATTCACAGCAAAAAATTAAAAATGAAATATGAACAACTCTTTTTGACACATTAGTCTACACTTGTGATGTGCAAGCTGTAAACAGAGATGACGGTTTTGAAATTTGCGGAACATTCACATATTTTTAGACATCATGTTTGCAAAATTTGTCAGCGGCAGCCTGTGATGATGGTTATGCTTATTTTTGTTTTGCAGGAAGGACGCACGACTCAAGCTTCAGTTTGTTCGAACTCGGCAAAAAAGCGTCTCCGGGCGTGAGGATGTTTGCCGAGACCGGACGCTCCGAGTTGCTGGACGCGCAGAGTCAGGGTGCCAGGGGTGTTTACGACGAGTTCGCCGCTCCTCCTATCACAAAAGGTGCCGGCACGGTTGAAGCAAAGTTCTTCCTCGACGGGAATCACTCAAAGGTAAACTTGAAATATCGAGAGAGGAAAACTTCTCCACATAAGAAAAAAAATCTTTTTTTAACAAGCAAAATTAATTAAATTTCTGATACAATTACACGGTTTTGAAGTGTTTAAAGTAAAAAATTGAATTATTTACAAATTATCTTCTCAAAAATTGGAAGCCATTGCGAAACATTCATTCGATTTAAGTTCAGGAAAAGTGAAGAGTGATGAATTAAAAATAAAAAGGTTTAAGATATTCAGAATATTTCCTAGGTTGAATTTCCTTGGCTCAATTTCTTTTAAACCTTTTTTAAAATCATCACTTTTTTAACTTGACTAAAATTAAATTAAACTATTTTTTTTGTAAAGTGAAGCAAGCAGTGCAGTAAATAATGAAGGAGTTTACAGTGTGTACGGGATCGAATAATGTACAATATATGAGAAAGATAATAAATCTTGTAAATTTATTTGCACTGTAAGCTTTATTGCTCGTTACAAAGAGTAATCGAATGTTGCTCGTCCGTAAATTACAAGCAGCTTAGTCTCTCTGAATCTGTTTAACTCACTGTTGAGTGGGTATTTTATGGGCACATTCGCGGAAAATGAAAGTCACTTTTGATTGCAAGAGAGGCTTTGAGTGTATGTGAGGCGCATATAAATTTTAATACACATTGGCGTTGGTGTGTCGCCGCAGGTTTCCCTGATGACTCGGATAGTGCCGTCGCCAGACTGGTTCATTGGAGTGGACAGCTTTGATTTATGCAACGACGGCAAGTGGATTGACACGCTGACCCTGGAGGCAAGCAAATAATTTAAATTCCATTTCTAATCAAATCAAAAAATTTAATTTTTTTACAATTTAAAAAAATTAGAAAGAAAAATGAGAAGCTTATTAAAGTAAAAATGTTTGTTCCATCTTGCCAAAATTAAAATTATAAATACTTTTTAAAATTTAATAATTTCAATTCTTCGTTTTGAATAATTCAAAATAATTTTGTCCCCCTTAGTTGGACCCCATAGATGCCGGAACTGACAATGGCTTTACATTCACCGCCCCGAATTGGGCGACGGAGCCTGCAGGCGTGGTGTTCCGCATCACCAACACATACCCGGCTCACCCGGCAGGCTCTTTTCATTACCCATTCTTGAAGAGGCTGCCGGCCATCGCCTTCTTCCAGTTTGTAAAGGTGATGCATTCTTGCGGTGTCTCGCATCATCTCTCATTAGTTAATTTCCCTGAGCAGCTGCGAGAGTACGAGTTGGCGCAGGAATTCGATGGCAAGAACCCCGACAAGAGCCACTACGAGGTCATCAAGATTTCCGAGCTGCCCACCGTCGACCGAGGCAACGACGTCGATGAAGATGTGAACAAAAAGGTACATCACAATGTAAGAAGAGAAAGAATTTTAATAAAATTTTGTCGCTTTTTAAGGTCAAGGCCGCTGTGGGGAACACAGACTCAATTGTCGCCCCTCCGGCAATTGCAAAAAGCGTTTTGCACAGAGCTGCGGTGAAGAGTAATTCTTCTCTCTCGGCCGTCAGTGAAAATAATGGAATCGATGACGGAAATGAAGTGGTTGTCGTGCACAGGCACCAAAGCAGACGGAGGATGAAGAAAAATATGATCGGCAATTTAAACAACGCCAACGCTCACAAATTGAGTAAGATTTAAATTACATCAGATTTGTTTACAATTAAACTGAACAATTTCCTAAAAGAAGGATAATTATTTATATTCAGAATAGCAAAAATAATTAAAATTTAACTTTATGATTTACGATAAAAATAAAATCAAATTTGAATTTTTATTATTTCTTTAATTTTTTTGGCAGGGCCACCAAGGGACTGTCGAGTGAGTGACTGGGGCAGCTGGGAGCCCTGTTCAAGGTCATGTGGCATTGGCGAGACGCAGAGGAAACGCACCGTCACGAAGCACGCCCGCCGAGGTGGAAGCCCCTGCCCTCCGCTGACAGAGGCCAAGTGGTGCGGCAGCGCCCGCTCGTGTCCAAAAGGCTACTTCAACTGGTAAGGGCCAGCGATGGGAATTTTAATCAGGACTGATGTGTTTTCGAGGACTGCCAAAGTCACAATTAAAAAATAAATTGGCGCAGTCTGGAGAAATGGAGAAAAATACATAATTGAGATTGTATACGACCCTGGTGCACAGGGGTGAGAGAAGTTGTACAAATTTCGCATTAGGGATTGACGACTTCTTGTATCTGGACGAAAACATGCATATATTCCACTGAACACAAATTTTTCCGCATTTTCTGTGTAACTGTTTATTGTGTATTTTGTGTGTAAAATAGAATTTTAAACAAATTAGCTACAGGTTATTTATGTTTCTACTAATAACTGGATTAATAAAACCGCAAGGATTTTTGTCAAATTAAATAAATAATGTAAATGGAAATACAATTTTTAAAGTCTGATTTTATGTCATAAAATGTAATTTTAAATTTTAATCTTTGGTGAATTTTTGATTCAAAATCAACTTTGTAGTACTTTTTGAGCTTTTATTGTTTTCAGACCTTGTTGTGTTTTTTACAGGACTTTAATTAAATTAAAACATTTAAGTTGAATCCACTGTATTTCAACGTGAAATAAACTCTCAAATAAACTATTATGAACATTAATCAAGTCTCATTGAAACTTAACACCCAAACAAAAACAATAATGAAGTTGATTAATTATGTACTTCAACTTAGATAGATTGTCTCTGTAACCTATAATAAATTAGAATTCTTTACAACACTATAACATTTCAGTCTGGACCCTTTTCCTTTAATTCCACCATGCAGATGGAAAAAGGAAATGAAACTTAAAACTAACGGCGTAGAATATAATTTTTGAGATTAGCGTAAAATTTAGTTTCCCTAAATGAATTCGGATCACTCAGCAGGCTTTTTGTGGCGCTCGTCCGACTCTTCGTCGACAGCCTCGTACTTGTCCAGCCTGCTGGACAGTTGGTCCACCTTCCTCTTCAGCTTAGAAATCTCCACCCTGGCCTCACGCAAATCCGTCCTGAGCACACTCACATCCCCCTCTGGCCTGTGGCGTTCAATCAGGAAGGACTTGATGTAGCTGCAAGAGAAGAAAAAATTAAAAAAATACATTATAAATCAAGGTTGAGATTTATTCTCACTCCAAAGGGTCCTCAGGCTTGTTCTCCTCGAGGAACAGCTCGGTCATGGCCCTGATCAAGCTCTCCATCACGCCTTTCTCCTCCATATAAACGCGGAATTGTTCTCTCTCGACGCCGATCGAGTCCTCCTCGATTTGCAGCAACTTTGGAGGAAAATTTTAAGCAAAATTCTTGCACAACAACAGGGACAAAAACTCACCTTGGGCGCTCCGTTCTTCTCGGCCGCCTCCTCAGGGTGTCCGGGTTTGTTCACGGGAGATCCCACCATGATTTATCCGTCCGAAAATCTCGTTTGAATTTCCAACAATGGGACGTGAAAGCTGCAACGGGCGAGACGACCGACTGCCTGTTGCTGAGTGAAGTGAAAATGGTGTGGGAATTTGCGCCGAGAACTTCTGGCGCGCAAAACACTCGCGGAATTCGCGCCTATTTCATTCTCATGCATGCGTTGGATTTGGTTCCAAGAAGGAATTTTTGTGTAAATAAAAACAATTCTCGCATGAATGCAATTTTTTTCCAGTTTGATTTTTATTATTTTATCATTATATTTATATACTTTTAATCGTATGTATATAGGTTCGCTTACAACAATGTACTGCTTGCAATTTTTTTTTATACACTTACACGTTTTCTCATTTATTTTCGTCTCATTTTATTACATGCTTCGTGTGTTTGTGTGTTTCTTGTGTCTAAAGGGCGACTCTCTTTATTAATTAAGTACCGCAAACTAGGTAATTAATCAAGAAAACGGAAACCTGCGTTATGTATTCTGTGAACCCTCTCGAGGTCTTTTTGGCGCCAACGTGGCCAAAACGCGATTTCCCGCCGCAGGGCAGGGAGGGGGAGAATTTATTTATTTTGCGTCACAACGTCGTGTTTTGTAAACAAGTCGCGGTGCAGCTCGACTATGCTGCGTTTTGGGCCTCGTTTTGGGCCTTTCCGACCCCGTGGGCCCTGCCAAAGGTGAGTCTCTAGTCGCAGAACTAATTTGCATAAAATCTCACACCACGAAAGAATCGAAAATTAAGTACATGCGTGCAATTCACTGTGTATTCATCGTAATAAACTCTTGAGTGTGACTCTGCTCGGATTAAAATGGATATTAAAATTTGCAAGAAATGAAACCAGCATCATTTATAACAACAACATTCGGGATTATTCTAGACAATTTGTTCAATCTGGATGGACACATACAACTGATAAAAAAAAAATCAAATTTACTTACATAAATCTATCAGAAATCTCCAAAATAAATTTCAACTCCACACTTATCTCGAGATGATTCGCAAAAAGTCTCACTTTTTCAAAGTCATGACATTGAATTCTGATTTGACATTGAAATTCAAAATTTCCGGGGGTCGTGTCCTCGAGTGTCGCATTTATTTAGGCCCAGTACCAGTTTGAAAAGAAAAATCTCGTCCGGAGAAGATAATAAATAAATTGACACACAAAATTGAATTATCCTCGCATGAATACATAACAATTATAGGGGGTGCAACATCTTTGAGACACACAACAGCTATTATTGAAGATTTCTTATTGAGCTCTCTTGAGAGTAGCAAAAGAGTTTTCGCATCCTTATTGATTAAAACACTGAATTTGTGGATGGAATTTTTCAGAAACATCTCGTCGTCGTCGGAATTCGGAGGACACAACCCAGCCAGAGACCTTAACCTCGACCCGTGGTACGTCTCATTAATTTTCCACGCAATTCCCGGAAAAATCAACATTTATGCGTCGAGTTATTACTTTCTCGTCAATCAATCGATTAATTTAAATAGAGGATAACAATCAGCGATGATAGGCTCTGTTGACCTGAGAGAAGAGAGTTTTTTGTTCTATTATTTTTTATATCCAAAAATGAAAAGTATGTAGTGAAGTCGATTGCACAGCAATTATTTCTCGTTTTCAACATCGATAGTAATTTTTGCCTCTATTTTTTGGTTTTTTCTTCTTTTAAATTTGCGATTACACTATTTAACATGATTGGAATTTCGGATTATAACATTTTACTTTATACACAGAATAATAACCGTACGAGTGTGTGTGTCATTTTTTTTTTTACTAATCTCATGAGAGTTCAGTGGAGACAAGATCTAGTATAAGGCATTTGGACCTCATGTCGATTCTCTTTGTGCCTTCAAATTGACTGAATTGAAATACATAATTATATTCCTCCTCTTTTAATGCGTTGAATAACTCGCTTGCTTTCGTCATAAGTTTTATTAAATATTATTTCTGTTACCATCTCATACAGACTCGCATAATTCTATTTACGTCTTTTTCACAATTATTAACGAGATCCAGTTTTACACCAAACAGACACCAAGTGTAAGCTTGCAAGTCCAAACAAATAGTGAAGGCCATTCAAAAACAGGTTCGAAAATTTCAATTTAGTTAGAAATCAGAAAAAATTATCTCTTTGAATAATGTTTTTTTTTAACCAATTTCAAGGCAAATGTAAATTTTTTGACCAGAATTGTTCTCACTTTTTAATACAAGGAAAAACGCAGCAAACTCGCGTGTTTTTGTGAAGAAAAGCGATCATTTTATACAGCAGTATACACGCCTGAGAAATTCGGCAATTATTTCTTTCTTTCTTTCTTTCGATTACACATTTATAATTTATAGATTTTTGCTTTTCATATGTACATACAAGCGATAGGTTTTTGCATTTGATTGGATGGGAACTGAAGCCGGAACGCGATTTGTGCTTCGGAATAAGTGATCGAAAGAAAAGTTTGAAAAAAATCTCGCCTCGCAACCAGACACTCGCTCTATAATTCTATCTAGTCCGGTGTGTTTCGTTCGTCCCATCTCACTTCTTCTTAACACTAGTGCTAATTACAATGCTTTGGTCACATGGCGCTGTTTGTTCGATCGCCCATAAATATCAGCGGAATATTTATGCGCAGAACGAAATTTAATAGTAAACGATTTTCATAAAAAGTCTCTCGCCAAAATATAATCGAGGCTCGTTTCTTTTTTCCCAAAAATCAACAAACAATATATTCTTTGACAAATCATTTTACTCTAACTTGCTACTTTGCGTATTGTTATTATTCTCATGCACGAGATTCACTCGTTTGGTTTTTACAATTTCGGTTTCGAATCGAGCAACGAGGAAACACCCTGCATGAGCGAAACGTGACTAGACTCGTCCACTCATCCGCATTTTTGCAGACTTCTGGCTCTGGACCAGAAAAGAATCTTTCAACTCCATCCACACGCTAGAATTTCGCATCTCCTCTGATAGATTTATAAGATATTTATATCCTGATTGGTTTAAAATTTGATCAAATCCAAGGAGCGAAAAAATAACATTTATGTACAAAAAGAGAAAATTCAAATTAATTATCTTGATATGCTGATGCTGATTGGAACCGATTCGCGCAAACGAGAGGCGATGCAATTAATTATTTAAGATGGAGTGCGAAATGAATTTCGAGGAATGATTTTTTTACAGAATAAAAAAATTAAGCTATAAAGGAATTGCTTTGAAGAATGATGGCTGCAGAATATCTCTTGTTCTCCGCTCGAAGTGGTTGTTTTAAGCATGCTGATTTATTTACAGTTAGCAGTTGCAGTTGGGGCTCTGGGGTCCAGTTTGATTAGTTTCCGTGAGTCTGGTGCCCTTCTGAGCATTCATTAGGTTCGGGTCGGTGTCTAAACTTTCCGACATTTTGTCACAAATGATGTCGACGAGGCGCTCGAACACGGCCTGAAATTTGGAAAAGCGTTAATAATTCAAATTAAACGACACAGATTCAACACAGAAAAAAATGGACTTGTATAATAAGATTTAAAATTTCAGTCAAGAAAAATTTAAAGAATTTTAAGCTGAATATTATATTTTTGAGATCATAATACTTTTGTGGCTTTTTAATGATTATAATTTTTTTTCTAAATTTATTACAGACTATAATTGATGAAATAAAATCACAAATGAAAAATAAATTGAAAGGAAAATGTATGATTTTTAAGATATTTTTATGCATATAATTTTGGTAATAAAGGGAACAGGCTTTTTTCTCGTTGATTTTTTTTTCTTTTTTAAGAAACAAACTGCTCAAAGAGTTTGTGACACGGTCTAAAATCCTATTTTGTAGAGAAGAAAAAAATAAAAAAAATAAAATCAGCAAATTTGAAAAACCACCGTTTAAAAAAAATTTAAACATAAAACTAACAAAATGTTCCAATGTATTTTTAATTCATTTTTTTTTTTATGGTAAATATAATAATTGTCATTAAATTCAGTGAACATTACCAGTTCTTTTGAGTTCCAATCAAAGCAAACCATAAAATTTATGATAATAATAAAAAAGCTCATCGATGAGGTGAAGGACGCAAGTGCACTTGAAAAAGTGCACGATAAACAACCCCGTGCATGAGAGGGTGAAAGTAAATCTCAAAGAGAAAAGGGAGGTCGATGCAGCACGTGGCCATTTGATCTGGCCTCGTTAATTTGGCGCCCAATTACCTTGACGTTGATGTTCTCCTTCGCCGAGGTCTCGAAGAACTCGATGCCGAGCTGCTCGGCGAGCTGCTTGCCCCGCTCGAACGAGATGACCCTTTCGTCCTCCATGTCGCACTTGTTCCCCACTAAAATTACTTGAGCGTTGTCCCAGGAATATGTCTTGATTTGCGTCACCCTTTTCGCAGAGAAAAAAAGAAAAACAGACTCAGCACCTGTCAGTGCGTTGTTTATTGTTTATCGCTCACCAGTCCTGTACGCTGTTGAACGACTCTTCGTTGGTGATGTCGTACATGAGGATGAAACCCATGGCACCTCTGTAGTAGGCCGTCGTAATCGTGCGATAACGCTCCTGGCCTGCTGTGTCCTGATACCGGCAAAGCAAAAACACAGCCAATTAATTTCGCTCCACGCAAGCGCGCTTGTTATTGTCGTTGGTGCAATTTAATTCAATCAGCTCAAAATAAAACAAGCGACGGAAAGAATTGACACGAAATTTATATTTTATGTAATCAAGAAGTAAAATTATTCAGATATCAAAAAAATGAGCCATTTATTGATTTTTCTATTTATAGAATTTATGTAGAAGGGTAAAATTTATGACGGCATAATTTTTGTTATGTTCTCGTTAGGAATAAAAATTACCCATTTCAAGTATTTTCTCTATTTTTCTTTTTCCTATAATATTTGGTTAATTTTTCTCTAACTTTTTTATTAAAAATTAATTTTTAGAGTTACCCGAAGACTTGAGCGCCTGAAAAATATCTGGTTATGCAACTGGCAAAACATCCGTCCAATATGATTCTTTTCAAATTTTTTATTCCATTTATCATCATTTTTTTAATGAGAATCTATAATATATTTCCACTTTAATTTAACAAGAATTTAGTAACGGAAAAAGATAATGATAATTTTTTTTTTTTAAATTCTAAAGATAATCACGAGAGGCCACTCCACAAATTAATTAGATGAATTATGTAACAGGTTGATACACGCGTGCGCCTTGTCAACGTTCTTAAAAGAACCTCATTATTGTATAATTGTTTTAACTTTCTCCAGAAAATTTCCATTTTAAATAACCGAATCATTTACTGGGTACTTAAATAATGCTTCGGCAGGGAAAACTCGATTGGGAAGGCAGATTTTTCTGACTGATTTCTCCCTAATCAGCTTCCGGTGTCGATATAAAAGACATCTCACCCATATCTGCAATTTGACTCTCTTATCGTGGCGGAAGACAGTCTTCACTTTGAAGTCGATGCCGACGGTGGAGACGAACGCCGACGTGAACGAATCGTCCGCGTACCGGAAGAGAAACGACGTTTTTCCCACACTCGAGTTGCCGATGATGAGCAGTTTGAACATGTAGTCAAAGTTCTGGTCTGCGGCATCTTTCTGCCACTTTGGGTCCTGTCCAGCCATCTGTTCAAAATAAACAAATTAGAAACAATTATTTCCGTTTTATATTTTGCAGGGGACGAGGCAGGTATGAAATATGCAGCAGTGAGGAGCGCAAAGCTGAGGGAAGGAACGGGGATTAGTGAAGGTAAGCGGCTCTAATGTATTAAATTATTCAACCGTGGAGCGAAACAGAAATAATAATAATGCTACCCCTGGCGTCCAAATAAGCGGCCCGGCAGGTTTATTAAATAACACCGGTTAATTTTATACAACGAATCAATCAAGTGACGTTTGACGTCACGTCCGAATGCAAATTTCGAAACCGCCATTCACGACGAAATAGGATTCCGGCCGGGCCGGAAGTCTCGGCGAGACCCTTGGAAGGATTTTTGTTTTTACCTTTGGTAAGGACAAAGTCGAGGAAAGGGTCGGCACCGCAGGAGGCCGAGAGGAAAGAGCACCGTGTCTGCCCCGACGGAGGAAAATGCAACCGAGAGGGCCTCTGCTGGAGTCGCGGGTAAATTTTATTGATTTCTCCTCCGAAACACGACCGGCGGCTCGAGCCGTATCTGTGCTGGTGCGCTGCTCTTACTTTTTAAACAGCCTTCGCTCGCGGTTCACCCTTTGTTCAATCTCGCCGCGGTCAACATAATTATATAATTTGCGAGTGGCGAGAAAATAATAAAATCGGCCGCCCCCGCACGCCGGGCCGCGGCAGTCATGAATGGGCGAGTCGCTCAATTAACGCCCACTATGCGCCGAGAGAGGGATGAAATGGTCGCGCGTCATTAAAGGCTGCACGAATTCCACTCGCGAGGACGACTGCGAAATCAGAGCGGAGGAGAATTTCCACGCATGTCGTATTAACTTTGATTTGCTGAAGTAATTTTAAGTATAAAATATAAAATAATTAAAAAATCAGAAATTTTAGAGAGTCTGCGGACACAAAAGTATAAAATGATGCAATTTAGGGGATATTTTAAACATATGTAAGTTCTCTATTTTGCCAATCAAAGGTAAAAAATTATTTTAAATAAAAATTACATTATTTATTTTGGCATTTTTTTTTTTTGGTATTCGTTGGAAATAAATGATTCAAATATTTCTAAAACTATCTAAAGCTTAATAATTTGATCTGTTAACTAAATTAAAAATTAAATCTTGAGGCTGGTCACGACTAAAATTTATTCAATCTCCTTCAATTTCCTTTTCGTAAATTTTATCGAGTCACCCTATCAAAAGCTGTACTTAATTTAAGCCTCGATTCGTCTCGCCCACTTGGCCTGTGAACCTCTTCTCCGCCCAGCAAGTTTATATTAAAAAAGTTCAAATCACATCACTGCACAATGAAACTTTTTAATCCGAGATGGGCTGGTCTCCGAAGAAGTGGCGAAGATGCCAACGGCATCTCGCGGTGAGACGCGCCGCATTTATTTCGTGTGTAATAATGCGCCCTTTTCGTGTTGACCTCATTTCTGAGGAAAAAGTAGCGCTGCAGGCAAAGCCAGGCCGGGAGTAATTAGCACGGCAAGAGCAGGTAGCTGGGAACGCCGGAGTTTAGCAATGCAATGCTTTTCATATATTCGAGTGTGCGCAACATAACGAGACCCTATTGTGATTTGCGCCTTTGTAAACCCCGAAGAAAAGGTGAATTTGAAATTAGCTCACGACCTGTGTTTTCCGCAAATCTTCTTATTTCGCACTCATTTTTTTTTTTGAATATGCATTTAAAATTTATAACTTGAAATGAAAGAGGGTGTGCGTAGAGAGAGACCTTCTTAAGAAGCAAAACGCTCGCAGCTCTTTGCACTGCAGCGTGAAATTGGCCCACTCACTTTTAAGCTCATTGAGTGGCGAGTCTGCAGCTAAATTGGCGTTTGGGAAGTGTGCGAAAAAGGCGGCAACACGGTGGATGACTTTTTTATATAAATTTCTTGTTATTCTAGAGACTGAAGTGGATTATTTCCTTGTTAGTGGCTTCTGGCAGGATATTTAATAAGCGAATAAGTGCTTACATATTTCTTTAAAAACTCAAGAGAAATTTTATCAAAAGAGGAAGAAAAGATAATTGCACACATTTTAAAAAGCTACGAGTTACGAGTAAAATTTTAAATGCTATAAATTTGTCTATTTGATTTTTTTTTTCATTATTGTCGTTGATGCGTCCACTTTGTTAAATTCAATTATTGACAAGCAATTTGTTTTAAAGAAAGGGAATTGTTGGATCAAACTGCAGTTAAAAAACTTTCGAGATAAAAAAACTACCCCATCTGGGCCTCGGTTGACTTATTGTTGTCTTGTCAACTAATTTACTAATTTTGGAGGTCTACAATTAATAAAATCAAAATATTTTTTGATTGAAAAGCTTCAGAGTCCTCAAAAACAAAATTACACAACAAAATTATATAGTTATTGCTATAATTACATAAATAACCATAGTTTCAGCAAACCTTATTGTACTTTTATTTTATATCTGAATAGAAAAGGGGCGTTAGAGTTTTTTTAGGATGAAAATTTAATTTAGCTTTTGAGGCTCACTGCGGTGGATGGGGTTTTTTTTTACCTCGGAAGCTTTAGCATAATTCTTGCCAGTGGTGGTGCCATTTCGTCCAACAATTCCTCTTTTTTCAAATAATTTTTTTCAAAAATTGAATATAAACAATGTGATGTAACAATTGAACAAATAAACAATAATAATGAATGGATCAGATTATTATTTTATACACTTAATTTCCCAATCTGCATGTATAAAGAATTTTATTAATTTCTTTAAAATTATTTAAATAAAGTCTGCCTAATGCGTTCCTATAACCTTGAAAAAAATCCTCTCATTTTTGCTAGACATGTTTGTTTGCAATGGAGCTGGTTGTCTTTTTCCTGTTAGTTGTTAGGAGAAAAGAGGATCTGCGAAGAAGATTTGCAAGCAGGAGATTGGCTTGTTTGTTGTCCCTTTGGCGCATTAGTGAAGTGAAAGTCGGATCGCAGCAGATTTTCCTCGTTTGGCAAATATTTACCGGCAACGGGTAGGTTCGAGTGTACTTTGGATTTCGGACCCGCCTCGACGGATGTTCGGCGCTCAGCGTGGGTTTGGTCTTTTGTTCGCCGTCTCTGGGCACGGCTTTGGGCACATTTTCGGCCTCCGTCGGTCTGGGCTTTGGTTTTGGAACTTTCGGGTCGGCGGCAACATGCCTCGTCGGGGGCCTCGGCGAGGGGGGCGGCTCGGGGTGCTCCTCGATGATGACGGCAGGTGCGGGGGCGAAGGGCGCCACCGGCGGGAAGTCGGCGATCGAGATCATCCGGGTCACCCGTTTCTCGCGGTCGATCACAAAGTCGTAGTCGTCGCCGTCGAACGCTGCAACTTTGGCCCATTGTCAGGTACAAATTGCTTACTTGGGCGGAATTATTATTTATCATTATACACAGGCGACGCAACAACTTTCAGTTTGCTACGACTTGCATGCCCACAACATTGGAGCAGCGATAAAAGCAAGCGCCCTTTTGTGCCGCGGCGCTGTTATAAGAGCATGTGTCACACATCCGGCCCGCTTTAATGAGCACGTTGGTAACTTTAGATAAGACGCTCGCCGTTAATTAGAATAGGTGGACGTTTCTCTTGACCATGAGGTGGCGCAAGAGGCATGAAAAGGAAGGAAAACCCTACAAAATTCTGACCTAAAATTTAACAAAAACCATTTGACAAAATTATGAGCAGGTTAAATTTCAAATTTATGAAAAATCACTGAATTAAAATTTTGCATAATTTTTTTGATTCAAAAATATTGTTCAGAAATTTTTAAATGTGCTGAGAATGTTAACAGCAAAGTTTTATCCTCATAAAACTAAAATTTTGCGTATATTAAAAAATTTAATTATTTTTTCGGTTGTCTTTACATTTGTATAAAAATTTTACTTCCTTATTTAATTGTTTTTTTTTAATAGCAAAGTTGGTTTAGGAAATTAATTTTTCCTTGCAGTATTGTGATGAAATAAATTGTTTTTGAGTATTAGGAATTATTTTTGGAACAAAGTCTCGCATTTTGTGCGAATCTCCAACAATAAACGCTTGATTTGAGAATTCCATAGACGTGTCAGATGTGGACTTTAATCAACTTACTATTATTGCTGCTGTTGTTGGATTTGTCCCTGAGAGCAACGGCGTCGTCGCCCATTTTTGCTTTCACCGAGATGATCAACAGCGGCTCATTCACTCGCGCCCTTTGTTTATGCCAAGTGCAGAGCCAATCAATCGGCACAGGGGCAACTAACCACTTTCAGCTCGATATCTCCCCAGAGAGCCAAAGAAAATGTGACAGCGCCGCTGCGGCTCGGGCAGACTGCGCTTATTTTGCTCGAAGCCTCGCGCTATCTGGACACCACTTCCTCCCGCTCCACTTCCTTTTCCTAATCAGCATCACCAAAAGTGTTTTTCCGGAATCGAGATTAAATTGCTCCGACGGCGCTCACATGTTTTTTGTAACAAATATAAAAGCCACGTTTTTCCCCCGCGTAAAAGCAAAATAGCAAAACCTCAAAAAGAGGTCGTCAGAAGAAGAAATTATATTCCAGAAGGAAAAGAATATAAAAAGGGATGAAACAAAAAAGGTACAACGTGGAGGGTGGGAAGCAGTCGAAAAAGGGGGTCATCGGAGTAGGTCTGTATTTATTTTTTTGCACTCACCCTGCGAACTGAATTTGCGTTTCTGCGGGTCCTTGGCCTGAATTAGTGCGACGATCAGCGCGATTGGCGGTGAGGAAAAACGGGACTGAACGGCGATGCAAACGTGTACTTAGGACAACAATATCGACACCAACATGGTGGCACCACGATATCGACTGAGTTAGTTCTGCTGGTTGCCTATTCACTGTGGGGCACGACGAGTGGAATCAACCGATCGAACACCGAGCGCCGCTGACGCACACTGGTGGTGCACGCTGGAGAGTCGGCGGGGCCGCTCGATACGCGCGCCCGCACCACTTCTGCGCAGCCTTCCTTTCCTTCCATGGCCCAGGTGCTTTCTTTCGCTTCGGCCGTACACACACACACACATGCACTCACTCACCAGTCTGCAAGCTCGGCAGCCATTGAAATTCGCCCTCGTGAGACTCCGCCAGTCAAAGCGCAAGGGAGAGAAAAGAAGACGTTGTTCATGAAAGAGTAAAAAAACGTCTCTTTTTAGCCTACGCGGCGCACTTGAGAAAGTGAAAAGTCGCCTTCAAAACGGAATGCTTTATTGCGAGCAAATTATCATGATGGCAGTTAATTTCACCATTAAGATTTTCCTCAGCAAAGTTTCCATTAAATGAGGCTCTAATTGACCAAATATTTGATTTAATTGAGGAAAAAAATACATATAATCCATTCACGATTAAAAAATGTTTTAAAAATTAACTTTTCAGCTGCAAACTCATTTTTAAAGCTTATTTGTGCACCACAAGGCATTCTCTGCCCAAATCATAAATCAAATGTTAAGGAAAATTGAAATTACTGGAAAAATATTTTTTATTATTATTAAATAATATCATTTTTGTAGTGGAATTTCACGATCGAGGGTTGATTTATGGTGATTTGAATTTAAAGTCAGCATTTCCTCGGTGGGTTTTGTGAGTTGTTTATTGCTTAAGAAAAAAAATCCTGCTCTACTCGTTTCGGCTGCAGCCATAATTCATGAGCTGAGAAATCATTTTGACAAGAATAAGTACAAATATCAATCTTTTTTAAAAATAGTCAACCTTTTAATTAACAATTTTCCGTGAAAAATTATTCAAAGTTACATTTTGTCACAAAACAATTTTGAACACAAAACAACTAACAAAACCTATCAAGGTTAAGGCGACTTAAATTCAAATTACAATTTATATCTTTATTTATTCCAGTATTAAATAATTTTGATTTGAAATTATAAATTTAAAATTTAATTGTAAATGGAATTTTATTGCGACTGTTGAAGAGAATTTTGTAATAACATTTTGCAAGAGAGTCATGACTATAAAATCTCCGTGATAAAAATGCAATAACCATAAAAACCTCCATCTATGCAGGTGCGAACGCTCTGATGGCCTCATTTGCTCGTAATTTCGGCGAATCTTTAAAACTTTGTAGTTTTCTGAAAAAGGAACAAATTTTTCGGAGGGTTTTGGAAAAATAAGTAACAAACAGGAGCATTTAATGAACATTTTTAATTTTTTATTTGTTTTTTTCTTTCATTATTGTATTTTTGCTGCTTTTGTATAGCAACAAATTTAAATTTATATATAGATATACATAGTTTTAGAACATGTATACATTTAAACACATTGAAATGTTTCAAGAGAGATCTTTTTATTGCTAAGTAAGCCTGTCGGGTTTTTGTCCTCAAAATAAATACAAAAAATATTACGTCGTTCGAAATCAAAAGAGTGCGCACGAGTGTTTTTCTTTCTTCTTTTTCGATGAAGTAGTGTTGTGTGTGTGAGTGTGTGTTGGTATTTATATTTTTCAGATAAATATTCTCGTCTCAAATAGTAAATCTCTTTTTTAGGGGGGAAGATTTGGATAAAACGTTTGGCTAGAGTGGGTGTTTGTGTGTGTTAGTTTTGTATTAATTTCTGCACAACGTGGTCTGAAATCGTTTTCTCATATCTTTTTTCGTATCGGAGAGAAGGAGAAATATAATATAGATTTTTTGTTTTCATTCGGTATCTATGCGGTGAGGATAACAGCAGATATACGTTTTGTCGTAATTGAGATGCTACGATTCTAGAGTGTTTTCGCACGATCTACCTATAGCGTAATGATTCATTAGCAACATTTGAATTTTTTTCCGTATCAGCCAATGTCGCCGTCGAACACGCGTTCGAGACTCGTCGGACGGCGTTTCGTCCCAAATTTCGGACGACGCGCCGCACGAAAGCGTCTGCGAACCGACAGCTTTTGTTCTCAAGAGCCAAAATACGTATTTTGTCGAAATCCCTTTTGTCCCACGTGAACGCTGGATGGAAATCGCGCCGGAGCGCGACCACTTTTTTGCGAGCAGAAAAAATATTCGCCTCGCGGGGTCGTCGCGCCCCGCGTCGGACATCCCTGTGCAAGGAATTTGGACACTGAGCCCCTTACGTAGCAAGGCCCTTGAGAAACGGCAAACCTCGCTTTCACCTCACAGGGTGTGTGATGTGCGAAGTTTAGCCACTTTGTCATCAGTCGAGTCTGCGTTTATCAAAAAACCACATATTGTACATGTATTTATATGCGTAATGCGTGTAAGCATGCGTTGCGTTAGCTACGTCGCGAGCAGGGCTGGCCGAGCGTTGCCTGTCCGCGGCCGAAGCGCGAGTCAACGCCGCCAGCCCGCGAACCCAAAATTCGACTCGAGCTGAATCAATTTTCTCAACCAAACATTTTTACTTTTTTTGCGTATTTTTCCATTATTTTTAATACTTTTTTTTTTCATTTTTCATTTTCATTTTTTATTTTAATCGGTTCCCCAAAATAAATATAAAAAATCTACTTATAACAAACCGGTTTTGTTTCTCAACAATAAATGCAACGAAATCAATTCGGGAACCTTTGCGTAAATATTCAAATTCGCCGACGTTGCCGACGTGCGTCGACACTCGGCGACGAAACGAAATGCCGATTCCGCGGGGAAAACGCGCTCATTAATTAATTAATTCAACAATTAAAACCGACTTTAGAAATCATACAAATACAAACATTTCTGAAACGAAAAACGTCCCCGCGGAACTTTTGATTGATCTGCCAAGGATGACGCCGCGAGATCAATTTGCCGGGCGTTCATTTTGTTCCCGTCTCATCCGTCGGCGCGGAATTTGGAATTGATTTCCGGGCGCGACGGACGGGACGGCGCCCCGCCGACGATCAACATCTTCCCTTTTGGTACAGTTAAATAGTTTTGTGTGTGTGTATGTGTAGGTGTGTGCGTGTTAAATGCAATAATTATGCGTAGAGAGTCTCCGAATTGTTTACGCACCGCACGAGTGCGCGAATCATTATTATTTTCATATTTTGTTTTTTTCATTTCAAATCAATAATCATCGTAAAGCACACAGTTATAGATGACGATCAGACAACATTAATTAATTCACTCATTAATTTAAAATCATTTAATGCACTGACTCTGTAAGATTAGGCCCGCGTGTGTCTGCCACCTGCGGATATTTTTCTTTTTCTCGTTCTTTTTTTTAAGAATATAATGCTGCGATGTAGTTTGTCGATAGAGTTGCGGCTTTTCAGCATAATAATTTTCAACAATCATACCGTTCGTGCTTCGATCACGTAATTTATAATTTTTTTTAATTCATCTCGTTCAACCAACGTTGGATGTTTGTATTTTTTTTTCTCTTATCATTTGGGGGGTAATTAAGTAAGTAATCAATATTTTCCTTGGCGATATTGTAACATGGCTGGTGTTCAATCATTGCGCACAAACAATGATCAATTTTAATCAATTTCTTCTTTCAACGCTAACATTTAAAGGAATTGCTATTTTACGCAACATACGATGATTCAAATAATTAATTTCTTCAATAATTACGTCCTTTTTTCCTGCGACTCTGCGTGTATTTTTTACTTTATTTTTGGTTTCATCTCAATAATAATCAATCCACGTCGTTTCGTCATCAAATATCTTCTTTCTCCGCGCGCGTTTTGTTTTAACAATAACCGTATTATACCTATTTGGATAGACATTAATTAATATGCCATTCACAGATTACCAGGGGGATTCTCTTGTTTGCGTGTGTTTGTTTCTGTTTGTGTAACCAAAGGTAAACAGAGTCACAACCTTGTTTTACGTTTTTTCCCATGTGTTCGCGTTTTCGCAGAGACTACGAAAAGCCTGCTGGCTCCTTTCTTTTAACAAAATAAAGTATTCATTATTTCCTCGGTCAACATTTTTACTCACAATTGCGAGTTTCTCTGCTTTTCTTGTAATAAGGAGTCGGTGATTCAACGATTAAACTCTGCTTTTTCGTATTTGGCACACTTTTTTTACAATAATTTAAGCTTCTCCCATTTCGTATGATTTTGGCATTTTATTATCCCATTTTCCTCATAGCAATTCGTGTAACCTGTTTTTGATAAACCGTTTTATTTTTTTTACCGTTTTCGGGGGGAGCGATTCGTCGACGTGTGTTTTCGAGTCCGTGTTTTGTTCCGTTCAAATTCATGTGTGTATATAAATTTAATTTCACGCGCACTGCGACCGAGAAAGTCCGTCATCGGGCGCGTGCAAACAGAAACGACGAGTCATCATCATCCTGCATTATTTTTACTGTATCACGTGCACTACTGATTCTCAATTTTTGCGGAGAAGTCGCATCACAAGTCGGGTGCGGCGGCGGCAGCGCGGCGTCCCCTCAGAAGTTGGTGTTGTTGAGGGAGGTGTCGTCCTCGAAGACCTGCGAGAGGCCGCCGCCGGTGGCGTGCGGACTCGCCTGCACCGGTGAGGCGCCGGGCTTGTGCACCGTGTACGGCGCCGACACCAGCATCGAGGGCTCCGTGTTGCGCCGCTTGATCTTGCCCTTGGTCTTCTTGAGCATCGTGGCCTAGCATATTGGACGGGGTCGGGAGAGAGGAGCGGGAGAGTCCACAACATAAGGCGGGATCCGAAGGTTCCAGGGCACAAAACAAAGGTTGAAAAACGAAAAAGTAACATTTTTGGATAATTTTGTTTGTTTTTTGATCAAAATGAACGGAAAAAAGTAATAATATGAGAAATGGTTAAATGATAATTCCAAAAAACGAGTAACATTGTAATTTTTAACAGTAACCAAGGCGATGTGAACGAAAACGTACAGGTTGTGGGTGAGAAAGACAAATAACAGCAGTGATTACTATGTATGTCGGTTATCATTTTGTCGCATACACGGCAAATAAGTCGTGTGAGTTTTAAATTAGTCTATTTAAAAAATAATCGGAGCAGGAACTACCAGCCAAAATAAGATGAAATCTCTCTCTCTATAAAACTCTATCTATCTCCGTCCGCGCGATAGCTTATTTTGGCTACTCATTCCCTTTTGAAATGTGCTTGAATTAATTTAATAATATTAATCGTGGCTATTTATATTTTTTAATATATCAACAGACAGGGACGCACACACAAACGAACACATTTGGTGGCAAATCGAGTGTGTTTGTGTGCAGAGCTGCAAGGTTTTGTTAGTTAATATATTATGGATTGTGCAAAATTAAGGGAAAATAATGTACAGATGCATTCAAGGGGTGCAAAAATATCCATCCAATCAAACAAGTCGACGCACAATCAAAAGAGAGCTCAAGAGAAAGATAGAGGGTAAGAGAAAAGACTGTTTGTGAAAATCAGGGGTTCAAATCAACGCACAGTAATAGGAGAGGTTTTCTTGGGAGAACGTAAACGTGGATCAGTCATTGGCAGGACTGGTAGCTATGTTGGCAGGAAGAGGGACAATCGTGGGTTCAGTGTTTCTGCGTTTGACTTTGGTTTTCTTCAGCATGGTAGCCTTTAAAAAACAGGGCGAAAAAATCGTTTATTACGTCGTGGAAAAAATCGAGAGCGGAAAAGTAGAGCAAAAATAGGAGGAGTAAAAAAGTAGTGAGAGTTGCAGCAAGAATTAAATCTCCATTTTACAAGGCAACGCTGGAAATACTTCTTGGTAAGAAAAATTTGAAAACATTAAAGATTATTCCCAATATTAAATTAGATTTTATTTAAATTTTAATAAAAATAAGAATTTCCAGTGTTCCCTGGTCAGCAATAATGTGTAGAGGGCTTCGGAGAAGTAAGCGAGTTGGAAAAATTTGAATAAATCGAGAGGACGAGAAGCAAAACCTATGAAATTGAAAAGGTCTAGGGACTATGATACAATATTTTGTCGCATTATTTTTTTGTACACGCATCATTCGAGAGTCGGTCTTGGAGACTCGGCGATTTTTATCAAAAATTAGAAAGCAATTTATATTAAGCAAAAATGTACACAATTTTCAACGCCGCTGATAATTTCTAAACGTACCTTGAGAGCTGACTTGAGAACAACTACGTCTCCCGGGCTCTGAATCCACGGCTCGCCGTCCACTTGGACAGGGATGTCCGAGTGGAGGTGAATTTTGATGTGTCCACCCTGGGAAAATGATTATCAAAAAAAGCAAGTTCAGAAAGTTTACTTTTATACCTGTGCAATCCTGAGGGCTGAGCGGAAGCCGGACTGGATCTGGCCGAGATGGACAACGCCCGTGACCCCGACCACCTCCAGCATTCCGTCCCAGTGGTTAGGCTTTGAAAATTGGTCCTCCTTCTCGGGACCCCACGGATTTGCTCCAGAGCCCCAGCTATGGAAAACGGAAATTTATTTCAAAATTTTAGTTGCAATTATGCAATTTAAGACATAAATGAGAAAATAGCAGAGATGTAAGAATTATAAAATAAAAACACTTCTTTTTAAAAAAAAATTACAAAAAGACAGGAACAAAAAATAATAATAAATAATTAAGTAATAAATTTTGCTTCCTTTCTTACGCTGAAGGCTTGCAATAAAACTGCTTAAAAATTAAGAAAATTAAATTATTCACCTCAAAATGTTGAGAATGATGATTCCCTCCACCTGTGGCAGCTCCACCAGCTTCCCGTCCACCTCCAGTCTGATCTCTTTGTGCAGCTCCTTGCACATTTTCCTGCCCACCATTTTCCGCAGGCCCATTTTCACGTAAACGCCCTTGTTGTGTAATCTATTTTATTTTTTATTAAATAAGAAATGTTCTTATGAATTTTTGCTTCAAAACAAACCTGCTGTTGAACTTGTTGGGATTTTCCTCTCGCGCGTTGTGGAAATCCAAACACAAGTCGGCGTCAATCCCAATACCAAAGTAATTGTTCATGACGAAAATTTGTGTGTTGTCCTCGCTGGTCGAGCCGGCTGTAAGAAATCGTTGGCTCAACGTAAATGGCGTCTGTGACACTTTGGCTGCAGCCGCTGCTAGGACAAAGGTAAAAAAGAAGCAAGCAGGTAAAATATCGAGACTAGCAAGGAGATCTAGAGCTAAATTTTCTCGGGCATGCGATTTTTCAAGAGAGAAGTAGATCGGGCAAAGCTCTATGGAATTGATTCTCTGTAATACTCTATCGTTTTTTTTTTACTTTTTTTTTTTAAATTTGAATTCAGTTTTTAAACTTTGATGAATTTTTTACATTACAAGTTAAATTTAATAATAATAGAATAATTAATTTTGATGAGTTTTTTAGTCAAAGCACATCCCTTTGATACTCCAATCTGTTCAATCGCAATTTGATTTTTGCAATCACAATTGACTAGATAATTTTAAGACTTACTTGACCACAATAAAACAAAAAAACTGCACAAATTTAACCGTTTCCTTTCCATGTTGTTTTATTTTTTTGCCGTGTCACGCACACTCAGCAGAAACTATACACAGAGCTTTTTATTTTGCAGTTCTGGAAAGAGCTAAACTCAAAAGAGTGAAAATCAGAGCTAGGGTGAATATAAGCGGGGCTAAATTTGAAACTTTTGAGAGCAGTGTGGATTCGGAAAAGTAGCAAATCGTGTCAAAAGCAGCTGAGAAAGTAGAGCGCAACGTATGTATATATGAGTGAGGCAGATTTTTCTCTCGCTTTTTTCAGCTGGAGAGAAAATTAATAGTTTGATGGAAAAAACCAATCGAATGTACCAATTTTATGGCATGCCCGGAAGAAGAAACAAACCTGTCGAGTTGGCGAGTTGCTGCAGTTTGCTGTCGTCAGCCTTGTCCTCAGGGTGGAACACGACCGTCCACCTGTCCAGTCGGATCTCCTCGGCGTCAATCACGTCTCGCAAAAGGTTCATCGGGTCTTCACCGCCCGCCAAGCCTGGTCCCCATCGCAGCACTCGCGCCAGGTCGTTTCCTTATCGCAAAAGTGTAGATTTAAAGTCAATAGTTCAGTTATTATTGTAAACAATAAAAGAGATTTTAAAATTACAGATAGCCAAATTTCAATTCTTAAAGAGCATAAAAAATTAGGGATAACCAAAAATTAACTTGAATACATTTTTTTTTTAAATAAATTAGATTTAAAAATTGTTAATTAAATTTTAATTTCTTAACTGCATTAAAAAAATTTATTTAAAAAAATCCCAAAAATTAAGTAAAAACTAAATTAAATAATATTAAATTTTCAAAAAGATTTTCTGTCTAAAAATTGTCAGATTAAATGATATTGGGCGAGGGGGTTGGTAGTGTTTTCCAACCCCTACAGTCGGTGGTTGGTTTACCTGTGCCCAAGGGTACTATCGCGCATGCGGGCGACGAACACTGCGAGTCCTGGCCAACGTTGTCCAGGCACTGCAAGACCCACCCGATGGTGCCGTCGCCTCCGCACACCAGGATCCTGTAGTCTTTGATATGCCGGAACACGTACAACCTTTGAGGAAACATTTTTGTTGATACAAAAAAAATCTCGAATTGACCGAAAAGAGTTACCCTGGGAGAGGGCCGCCGTTGTCCAGGTCGAACACCTGATAGGGGTTCAGCAGCTTCCTGAAACTGGTGATCAGTTCCAGGCCCTGGCAGCCCCCTGACTTGACGTTAACAAAAACTAGGAGAGGAGTAACTCCGGCAGGTACCATGGAGGGTTCGATATTTGGAAGCAACATGACTGCAAAGAAAATTAATTAAAAATTATAAATGATAACTTTTTAAATTGAAAATGTTTTTACAGGAAAACTTCAAAAATTTGAAATAAAACCATATTTTTTTTTATAATTTAAATTTCCAAGATGGAAAAACTTATTATATGAAAAATTGTAATTGTTCTGGTTAATTAATTAATTACCTAGGAGGTGTTTGTCCTCGAACGCTGACTCTCTTAAGATGTACAAAGCGCGCACTGCTTTATTGGCGTCCTCGTAAGTTATCACCATTGATCCGTACTCGTAATAAATTGGTCCTATGCTGTTGAACTTGTTTTCTGCGAAATACATTTCCAAGTTGAAGACAATTATTCTGAGGAATAAATTCAATCACCTTTGCTTAATAAGTCTGTAAGGATGTTCTCGTAGTTGCGCTGAGATAAGTTTGGCGGCAAATTTCCCACAAACAGGGCCAAGTTTGGACCGTGCGGATCTTGTCTGAGTTGCAGGTAGAAGCGCATCAACTCCATTTGCCTGATGGAGTCCTTCCCCAGCTGTCGCAGGATCAGCCAAGGTCTTTGGTCCTCGTCCAGCACACGCTCCGAAACTAAGAAGAAAAAAGAGTTAATTAGAGCCAAATTGGTAAACGGAAATCTTGTGTAATTTTAGAACAATTTTCATTCAGGGGAGAGTCGGATAAAACGTTTTTGCATAAACCTAAAATCCCTTAACTTAAATTTTTCACCTTTTATCACCTATTATTATTTTTTTAAATTTATCCTAAAAGCACTTCTATTTGCAGAAAAATGCCTATATAAAAAATTATATCTTTTCAACGTCAAAAATAATCAGCTCTTGGCTTCTTTATGCTAATAAAATCACCTAAATAGGCGCCTAATTTTTCCCATCCCTACCATTATCAATTTTTACTTGTTAGATTAAGTGGTGAGGGGGATTTCTGAATTTATTTTCAAATTTATAAAAATGGACACTTTAAAATCTGAATTAAAGCGTTTTTTTTTTTTTATACCTCCGCGGTCCAGCAAGACCTCGCTCATGCGGAAGTCTTCGCTGTTGGCGTCGCCGAGTCCGAAGGCGTCCATGGCCATTTTGGTCAGCTCGGCCACGGTGGTGTGGCTGCTGATCTTGACCGTGCACCACTGCTGCTGGACGTCTTGCAGTCTTCCAGGGTAAATGCGAACCTCGCCATCGTCACAGTCCCTGTCGTCACGAATCAATTAGTCAAATTTCACTTCAAGTTCTTCAAAAAAAAAATATACCCGGCCCTGAGGAAAACGGCCGGCCTCTTCCCCTCCTTTCTGTGCAGCGACTGGACAGGGTGAGGGTCGCACAGCTCCACCTCGTCGGTGGAGTACGCGTCAGTCAAGAAAAAGTGAGCTGCAATTTGAAGCAGGTGGAAATTAATCACAGCGAAACTCGATCGGCGGCGGGAAGGGGCGGCGGAAAAATGAGGACGGCGCTCTTTTTGTTCATTCGTTCATTTGGCCATTAGCGGAGGAAAACTAAGTCCGAGAGAGTCCATTGTCGGAATGAATAAATCTGCTGCAGCGCGGGTCAAAGAACATCTCGGGGGTTTTTGGCATATTCAGATCTATTACTTTGGCGAGAATGTAGGACAGGAGAGTGCAGTGGAAATACTTAGGGATCACATCGTACATGGGTCTCGGAGGAGATGAAAGGCTCGGAGCGCAGCTGCCAACACTTGGGTACAACTGGCTGATCGAGATACAGAAATTACGCGAAACAAGCGTCGGCGCATCGAGTTGTTTCCGTCGTAAACCTTTATCACCTCTGCAACAAATTAGTGCGACCAGCATTATTTAGAGTGCCCGTTTTATATTCTAAGGTTTAATCAATGTTTGCAAACAAATCTTAATTAGGCGTCTAGGCTTGTGAATTTTGGTCTCTGCGTTTCATTTTTCAATTTGCCAGGCTCAAAAAGAATTTCATAATTATTTACAAGTTGTTTGCATAAACCAATCTGTTGGCTGTTGTTCTTATTTTTACCATTATTTATTTAAAGTGAGAATTATTTATTGATTTAGATTGTCATCATTTGTAAAGAAAAATGTTGCAAGCTTTTAAATTGAGAGTAAATTAAACAAGATTGTTGCAAAATTTACTTAAACGTCCAATTACTGAAACTTTAAAAGCTTCATTCGTTAAAAATTTTTATATAAATCAATTATTCATAACTTGTTTATTTTCTGCGTTTCCAATCCAAAATTTCCAACAACTACATTCAGGGTGTCAATCGTGTATTTCATTTACAAAAACATTCATAATTTACACAAATTTTGTTTATAACAAGAGACAATTCACCTAAATTCACAAACCAGTATTTAATTATATAAATTATTTTTAACTCATCAAGACTTTTTTTATATTTTTTGATCGCCTGTCCGCCGCGTCTCACCTTCGTCTCGTTCGTCCTTTTCCTTGACCATTTTCTGGCTCGCCGACGAGCTGCTGCCGCCAGAGCCGCTGCCTCCGCTGCCCCCGGAGGAGTTGCCGCCGCTGACGTGGCCGCCGGCCGCATCCTCGTCGCGGTACCTCGTGTCCCCGGAGCTGAACTCCTCTGATATGCTTCGGGCTAAAAGAAAGATTGCAAGCGTGGTGGTGACTGCGGTTGCGTGTCCGGCGAGCGCCAAAACCTCCTTACCTAAAATCCTAAACGCGAGAGTGCTACCAAGAACGAATCCTGAAAATTCAATTCATGAAAAGTTACGCGTAATTTTGATGTTCAAGAAACGGAAGAAGAAACTAACGAAGAAGCATCGTGATTGAAAAAAATACATAATTATATTAATAATATAGAATGAAGGGTGTTTTAAAAAAAGTCAATATACACAGGGGATGCCTTTTCGTTAATCTCGCGCATCCGTTTTTTGGCAGGCAAAATTACATTCCTCGAAAAAGAGAGAGACTATGTACGTATGTATAATATATAATGAAGTGTTTTGAGTTTCCAGGATTTAGTCTTGGTTAGCAACTCACTACCAGTCATTGGATTTTAGGCGGGGAGATCATTACATATACAGGTCGCGCAAATCGGTTTAGCGCTAAGTTTTTTGTTTTAATCAGTGATTTTTTTATTATTATTGTTCTTTTGTTTTGCTCTCAGTCTGAAGAGAAGAGCGAGACATGCAGAGTGTGCGAGGGAGACTCGCCGGTGTTGCTTTCAAACAGTGTATACAGTGCGGTTGACAGAGAGAAAGATAGACAGAGACAGAGGGCCGGACACGGCTCGGGTGCAGAGTCCGTCCAGCCTACCAACTTTACACTATAATATGTACTGGTGAAGAGAGAGATAATGATTTTGATGATTATCGCCGGTCGCACGCGCGCTTTTGATTGGTTAAACATTTTTATTTTTCAATTCAAAACTTACGGGACAGCGTCTCCTTGCGGCGCACCTGCACCCCGATGATGGCCTCCATGGGCACCTCGGTGCGCGGGATGCTGACCGCGTGCGGCGGCAGGTAGATGGGCTGCAGCACGCCAAACGAGCAATCTGGAGGAACGTTTTTGTGGCACACGGCGTGACACTGAAAAACATTGCAAAATTTATGATAATTATAAAAATGTTTTTTTTTTGTAAAGTTGAGGTTTTTCGGGAGTCACATAATTTTTTTAATTTTTGAATAACGTTCATTTTTACAAATTAAGTTCTTCTTTGAGTAAAGTTATTTTGACAAAATTTTATTTTCAACATCTTCACCCTTTATCAAACGATTTTTGATAGTGAAGATTTAATTATTATTTAATTTATTTTACAGAAATTATATTAAGTAATAAGTAAATCTTAAAAAATCTAAATTAAAAATGTTTTAATGTAAATCTTAATTAGTTATTATATAACAAATAGTTAAACTATCAAAATAATAATATATCTGAAAATAAAGATATAATTTAATCAATATTTTATTTTATCATATCAAAAGAAAAGAAAATTGAAATTGATGTCGGAAGTTTTAGCAAAATTCTTTCTCGTGGTGCCGTTTTGTGCAAAAATTACTTTCTTTTCAAATAAATACATTTTAAATAGGGAAAAAATATGATGTCACAATTTGGACAAATAATCAACAATGGAAAAAACGTAATTAAAGTTCCTCAAACTGTAACATGTCAGTGGGACAAAAATTAATCATAATTTTTTCAATTACGATTACTGCCATATAAAGTTTTTTTCCATTTCAATTGTAAAGTTCGTTAGACGGGAATTTTCAAAATGGTTTGACTCACCGTCATGCCGCACCACTCGCAGCGCATCCCGGCGAGGCATTCGGCGCTCCAGCAGGTCTTCTTGCAGAGCGCGCACTTGGCGTTGCTCGGCAGGTTGCCCTCGCGCCAGTGGTGCAGGTGGCGCACGTCGGACAGCAACACGCCCGGCAGGTAGGTGGCATTCTGCTTGCAGTCGGCCGTCGCAAAGTCCTGACACTCGGCGTGCACAAAGTAGTCGCATACTGAAATGGAAAGGCGCAAAAGTTTTAAATTTTGTGAAGAAAATAGCACACTTTGAATTGAGAATGGTTGGTCTTAAATAGCAATTTAAGAAGAAAAAAAATCAATCTATAAAACATTATTCATCTTTTTCTACAAATATGAGAAGATACAAATTTTATCTCCTATTGATTATCATGATATAAACTTTAATGTAAAAACTCCATACAATTTCCATGTAATCGATGGTTTTGTTTTCTGATTTTCCTCTTTTTTTTTGTAAAAAATTAATTTGTTCCTTTTGAATATCTAAATAATGTATTTGGGTAGAGATTATTTCCAGCTGATATTATTTGTAACTAACAATAAAATACAGAAGAAAAAAAACTATTCGATGCAGCCGGCAAGACTTGCGTGACTCGCAGGTTGCATAATTCGTCCGTTTGCAGGCGACGTGGCCAAAAATACTCACTTTCGCAGTGGAGAGACAACGAGTCCTCAAGTCTCTTCCGGCAAACGTTGCAGAACTTGCGCTTGTGATGCACTTGCTCCGACCAACAGTGCGCCACCGGGTTCTGCAAAGGATTTTTATTTTTTTCTCATTAATTTCGGAAATCGTTTTTCAAAATTCGAGACCGACCTTGATGATGGAAGCAGCAATGCTGGAACATGGGCTGACCACTGTCTTAAGGCAGCGATCGTGAACAACAAAGTTGCAAGCTGCAACAGGCAGTAAAATCGATTACAATCGGGCAAATTACATATTAATTTGGACAAACGAAACTGGCCGACAGACAAAGAGGGTGCGGCTGCTTTTTCTCGGCCTGCCTGCCGCTTTGTGCTTTTGTTTGATATGCAAGGAAAGAAAGTAGGACGCCGGATGCAGCTCAGGTCAGACTGCTGCACATTGTGTTCATTCATGCACGAGACCCCGAGACTGCACAAGAACCAGAAAGGAAAATACAATTCTCCGGGAAAATTGCCATTCGGATTCTGCTCTTCCAAGAACGCAGCCGCAAACTTATAGGGAAAAGTATATTTTCGCTTCTGTTTTCCGTATTCATATTTGGCTAAGTCTACAAATCTTGGCAACTGTTGCTCTGACAATTTCAAGGAAAAATATAAAAAATGTTCATTAATTCAGTGTCATTCTTTAGATGATACTCTGACTGAAATGACGCAAATATTCTAATTTAAACGTTTACCAAAAACTTCTGACGTGAGGAAAGAGGAAAGGATTAAATTTTCTGATTTTCCTTGTTAATTTAAAATTTATTTTTTTGGCCTTGAATTTGTTTTATGTGAACATTTCAAATGCAAACTAGATGAGTAAAAAAATTGACAAATTTTTTTTCACAAACTTAAGAAAAACACATTTTTGTTATTGAGATGCGATTTTATCCTGGAACAACATGAGTGAAAGAGTAATAAAATTAGATTTATTTTATTTAAAAATATCTCAAGAACGGAAACTCCCGTAAAATATTTGTATTTATATAAAAAGAATCTTTATTTCTGAAACATCCAAAGTTGGTAATAAAAAAATCTGCCATTGCGGCCGAATTGGAATCAGAATTGAAATATTTCTGACTTTTTCTCTCTATTTTGGAAACGCGGAAGGGTCTGACGGTGGAAAAGTGCGTGCGGGAGGGAGCGAACGTTGAAATTTAGCATCACTGAGCGACTCCGCACACCAGAATGGCGAACACGATCACGGCGCGAGCGCATCATTGACTTGGGATGTATGGAAAGGGTGGGAAAGGAGAGAGGGGCAGGCAGAGAGAGAGAGAGCAAAGGCAGCCTGCTATAAAGTATTGATCGGGGCCAGAGGACCAGGGTTATATGTGTGTGTGTGTTCCTTGCTTTGCCAGAGCAGTAGCTATGCCTCCCTTTTCCGTCCGTGGCACCACATAGGGAGATACACTTTGAGTGCGTACCATGAAACCACGCTCTCTCTCTCTCTTTCTTTCTCTCTCACTCTCGTGTTTCGAGCACGTTTCGGAAAATAGTTCGACGCTGCCAAAATAATTCAAAATTATTTCCACGACGGTTCGTTTAAAATAAGTGCATCATGATTTTAGTTGCTTTGGAAAATTAATTAAAAACGATGCAACTCTCGACTGTATATTGACCTCCTTCCATTTTGTTAAATCATCTGTTGAAGTGAGAAGAAAATCTCAATCAAAAGAACCAGAACAAGCTTGATTTAAACAGATTTTAAGCGAAAATTTAAAGCTCTCATATCGCTCGAGTCGTTAAATTGCGTTTTTGCTGCGCACACCGTCGAGGGCCTCATTACAATAAAAACCCTTATTCTTGAATATTCTGTTGCTTCTTTTTGCTACTTCCCTCTTTCAAAACTGTGCTTGCCATTATTTTTTATCATTCTTCACAAATATTTTCATAACTCAAAAAGGATTTTAATTGTAGATAAAGAGATAAATGGTCTATCCAACCGTGTCGGAGCAATTCCTAATTTTTAACAAACTTTTATTATATTTGTTGTTAGAGATTAAATTCAGAATTGTGAATTAACACCACGACAACCCTAAACGTGTCTAATCCACGAATATGATTCTGCAAGAGGAATTCAACAAACAACATTTCCTAGTTCAGAATTGGAGCCCTGACGGAAATTGTAATGGAATATGGAAGTGAAGAGATCGGGCTTTTCCTCGTTGTAAATGGAATAATGCGACTTAAATTTCGAATCATGAGCATTACCGTATAGTTTTTATTTAAATTTTACCCAATTAAAAAAGCTTGAAATATTTTAAAAAACAATATATATTGAAGTCCAAGGTTTGACGGTTAATTTAAGTATATTTTGCTTGTTTGTGTCTCAACAGCTTTTATAATAATTCACTATTTTCTTTTTTTTTAATTTTCTAAAATTACGAATATTGGTGCGTTTTTGGAATATCCATATTCATAAATTAACCTCATGTGAAGGGAATTTGTATAAAATTCTTGCTAGTAGCGTCGCCGATTTGTCCAATAATTGCTGTTTTTAAAAAATTGTTTTCAACATATTTTAATGTAAACAAAGTATTTGTAACAATTTGAATGAATAGTCAATAATAATTTAATTCAATTTTAAACAAGCTGATCTATTATCTGATGGGGGGCAAATATTTTAAGTTTTTTCTGCTGGGTAAATTTCTGTAATAGTAATTTTTTATTATTCATTGGGTTTCAATAAAAAAAAGAAACACTCGATTTACGACCGCAATAATGCATATTTATCGCAAGTTAAAATAGAAAGAGTTAATTTCTCGATCAAAGTGGATTTTTCTCTTAAATCCTCAGCTTATTAATCGAAAACTATTATTTTATGTTATTCTTGCGCTATTTATGCTTTCTCCAGATTTTTGAACATTAACTTTTTTTGTAGTTCTTGGTATTTCTTAATAAAATCCTCTTTACGCTACATGGAGAAACTAAAACTTAGAAACGGGAATTGATCGTTTTATTAATCAAATGGTTCAAATATAGTGAAATTTCCATCAAAAGAACGTTTTAATTTCCAGAGCTTGTGAAGTTAAATTATAACATAACTTGTTCTATTTTGTTTATCAGGTGTTTCGTGCTTTTTAAAACATTTTATGAAGAATACATCGATCAAAAACAAACGAATGAAACGAAAAGCGGAAAAGTATTACACTGGTTGAAATTCGTGCATACTTTGGATGTATTTAAATTTCATTGATGCCAATCTCACGCGAACTGAAATAAGACAAAACTTTTTATTTCAAAGGCTGTCAGCTTAGGAATCTATCAGAAACTATAGATGATTTCACTAAAAAAAACTATGTAAATTGACTAGCTTAGTTGTTAATTTGGGTATAGAGTCGGTCTCAGAGATATTAGATTAGCAATTTTTCGAATCATATGCGTGTCCAATGAACTCTTAAAATGAGGGATATTTATGTCCAACGAACTACTATTGCAGATTTTGCAGCTCTTATTTGAGTAAAAAAAAACATAAAAAATTAAAAATATTTGGTTATCCCTTTATGAGCATGAAAGTTTCAGTTAATTATTATTGTTTATTCTACTCTAATAATCGATGCAAATGAAGTGGAACAAGTGATCAAATTAGATTAAAAAATATATAAAATCTTTCCAAATGAAAAAAAAACTTTTTAATCTCTATCATCATGTATTTTTAATGTCATTATTAAGAAAAAATAAAATTCTTTTGGAGTAATTTGTATTGTTTTAATTTTAGTAATTTTGCCACGACTTGAGTGGTTAATAGACAATAATTTAAACATGTCGATTTTCTTCTTAATTTAGTTTCTAGCTTTCTGGTTCTCCTTTTGAGGATTTGCATGTTTATTTCACACAGCGCCGAGTGGGAATTTTTTCTCTATCAGTCGAGGGGACGTTTGGTCGGACGCGGCGGGCGCTGCGTGACGAATGACTCGGGCCATCCAAAAATACTTCCGAGGGAAAAATGCGCGTATTAAAATGGTGAGCAAGGCCGGATGCCGGTGGCGGGCGACCAAGGCTGATGGCTAGTGTGAGTGTGTCTTATTTTCGAGTAGCAACACAAACACGATGGAAATCCGTGCAAGGATGATTGTGACGTAAATCGGTCACCTTAATGGTGCACGGACGGGGAGAGAGAGAGAGTGTGTGTGTGTGTGTGTGTATTTGCTATTCCGGACGAGAGGGCGACCGACGAGGGCACAATGTGCAGCGGCGAGGCGAGTGTACAATGTAACATTAGCCAGCAGCAGACGCAGAGTGCGCGCCGCTAAACGTGGGACAGAGAGCGGGGCAGGCAGCCAAGCACGAGGAACATTGATCGAGAGGCCACGGGTGCAAGAAGGGGGTGGTTGCGGGGTGGGATGAAGCACCGAGGTGACGTCACGAATTTCTCTCTGGCATATGAGGCAACAAATGCTCAACTCGCTCCAACAGCCCTGTACGCTGAGTGAGCTGCATTTTTGCACTTTCCCGCAAATGGGTATTAAAAATAAAACGAGTTAACCAGCCAAGTTGCGGTAGAAATAAAAGTTTGCAGCGAAATTTCGTCTCTCAAGTTTAAAACTGTTTGAATCTGTTGTTTCACTTCGTCCGTCCTACCAGGTTAAGAAATTACTGGAAATTACTGTGGATTTTTTTATTAATTATAAATTTAATATATAAATTTTGAGTGTTCTACTTATGTAGATTTATTTCTACAAAGAATCCTTGAAATCGATAGCAGTGATTACGAGCTTTCACATTTAAATGATAAATAGGTCACTGGGACTTACGGTAGTGGTATTTCTATGATTCTAAATGTCTCATTTATATAAATTAATTAAAATTTCATGCGAATTATTATCTAAAATTTTATAATGTTTGCGCATCAATATGATATTTATTTGAGTAATTTTTTTCTTATTTGCAACATCAAGTTACTCATTTGTCCCTTCATCTCAAGTTTTAATTTCAAATTTATTTTTATTTTTTACTCGATTTGGCGGATCTCGGTGCAGAGAGCGAGGCCAGAAAATGGCTCAATAGCATCTGCAACAGCAGTGCCGCGCGCGAAAATCAATAATCAACAATTGGTCCTTGTGCAATCTCGACTCGGATCTGCACCTTTCCTTTTTATTTTCACTCCGTGTCGATTGTGGAGGCAAAATTAAAACCACCTCTGGGGGAGTCGAGGGGCTTCGGGGGGTCCGCGGAAACCACGCCCCTCTTACCTTCGCAGATGTATCCCTGCTGGATGAGGCCCCACAGCATGTCAGTGCAGTGATGGCAGTAAGTAGGCTTGTGAAAAGTCTTTTTGGTGAAAACGTGGCCGTTCGCATTTTGTGGACTCGACTCACTCGCGGAACAATTCGTGTTCGCCATGTTACATTTCAGATTCCAGCATTTCCTCTTGGCTCATTAACTGCGTGCATGCGGCGTCGTCGTCTCTCTCCCTCGAGAGAAAGAGAACCGAGTTTTTTCGCAGCTGCCCCCAAAGTCCAAATAATTCACTCACTTCTTCTTGTTCTTCTTCTCCTCCTCCTCGTGTATATTTACATTTATATATATATAAAAATCAAAATATATTCTCCGAACGAAAATATAGAAATTTATATATACTCGGGCAGCACCCTCGCTGTTGGGAGAGAGGTGCGGCGGCGGCGGCGGGAAGGAGCAAGAGTCCGTGTGTGTGTGTATTTGTGTATGTGTGTGTGTGAGTTATTTTGCGTGTGTATTTTTTCCGTGTCCGGTTCAAAAGTGGCCGCCTAGGTGTGTCGTCGGCAATTAGGTGACATCGTCCGGTGCCCAGGAGCTAAGTAGAAAGAGCGCAGAGAAGCGTCGGAAGGCTGGTCGCGAGCGCTGTTCCGCTTCCTCCATTTTGGTGTGCACTCGTCCTCTGCTGGGCAGGAGCGGCGGCGGCGGCGTCGGCGGCGTCGACCGCGGCGGCGACGGCCACTCTAGTCGGCGATCGGCGGCAGCGGCCACTCGTCACGTCGTCATTTCGCTCGGCCTCACATTTTGCCGGACACCTCATCACACTCTGGGGCGCTCTCGCTCTCGTCACAGCCGATCGTCGGCCCTTGCGCTGCGCGACCCGCACATTTCCGCACCCCCGCCGGACTCGCTCTGCTGCTGCCCCTGCACCTCGATGGACACCACCTTCTGCACCTTTTGCACCTTCTGCTTCTTCTTTTCCTAGGGCTCAATTTCGATCCCTCGAGCAGCTCGCGCCTCGCTGCCGTTCCACTCCACTCTGCTAAGCACCGCGACTCTCTCCGACTTTCCTCTCCAGATCTGTAGAGCTCCAGTTTTCGACCCTCCCCTCCATCGGTGCCCGCTCTCTCTCTCTCTATCTCTCTCTTTAGCTGGGCTCTCTCTCTCTCTCTTCGAACGCCGCGCGCACTGCGAGTCGCGCATAAAAATCTACCCCCATGAATTGCATATATGTACATGTACGCGGCGAGTGTATCCACTCTGGATTAATTTTAATTATGCCTACGCCGACACACACCGTCCCACGATCGGTCACGTGTCCGACCAACCCCGATAACGCGATTCGCCGTGCCCTCCTCGCCAGAGAAAGTTGTTGCCTTTTGCCGACCTGAAACGTGTAATGGAAGCGCCGAAATTAACCGTAGCTGCGTAGCCTAGTTATGCAACCGGCTCGTGACATGTGCCGAACCGGTTGCATACCCGCTCCCAATAAGGAGTAATGGCGTTTCAAGCATTAAACTAATGAATAGTCTGGAATAGTCTTCTAAATTTTCACGGATTTACTAAAAAAAAATGAGTATTTAAAAAATTTTATGTTGACCTACTGATAATGAGCCAATTTTCTTAAAATATTAGAATAAATAAAATTCCCTTCCTTCATATTTCTATCTCCACGATGATTATTTTAGACTCCCATAAGATTTTAAAAGCCTAATTTAAAAATCTTCCTCAAGATCAACATACTTTGTAAAAAATAAGTACTAGATTAATTATGATTGAAAAATATAAAGTATATTTATTTTATATAATTACACTAATTAAGGATTCCTTACTAGCAATTAAATTTAGGTCCATTTTCAAGCATATCAAAATTCATTCATTTTTGTTTAAAAATGAACATATACAATTAATTTGTCACTGGATTGAAGCTTCTAATCCAGCAAAATTGCCTTAAACAAATTCATCTTGCACCACTGTTTTGGGAGTTCACTATTTACTAATCTCTCGTTACAAAGAAAAAATCAGTAGTTGAAGAACAACATGTTACAACCTCAATTGATTCTTACAAAAATACTTTGTTTCCATCGCCTCCCTTTAAAGAGATTACAAAATTGAAGCTTTTTCATTTCAATTATATATTACATCCTTTGGCATTTCTGCTCCAGCAATTTAACTCGCCCGGCAAAATGATGGACGAGTTTTTTGTGTGGACAGAACAAAGCTGCAAAATACTTCCTTTCTTAACGCTAAAGCTCAGTCAAGAATCTGCTCTGAACTCGAGAGCAATTCCCATACTTCAAAACACCTGTCAATTGTCTGAAATACATTCAAAGTTTCAATACGTGAGATAGAAAAATATTACTTTTTTTTAAGCACATTAGTTTAAAATTAAATTATGGAATGTTTTCTTCTTTCCTTCTTGTTCAGTCGTCAAAGTGGCAAAGCGTTGTAGTTGTCCTGGTAGTAGAGCTGGTTCATTTGGTACACAGGCATGATTTCGACGCCGTTCTGCACAGGGAACATGACTTCGCTCATCATCGGCTGCTCCATCTGCTGCTCGTACTTGATCAGGTTTTCATCATGAGCGCACGGAAGCACCATGTCAATGCTGTCGGCAGCCACCGCCGCTTCGGGGACAACAGGATTGCACACCGTCGAGGTGGGATGGACAACTGGAATCTGCTGCTGCTGCCTCTTCTCTTCAGCTTCAGTTTTGGCCCTAAATTGAAAAAAAAAATACATTGCTAATTTTATGAATTATAATTATTTAAATTATATTAACAATTCATTTGGGAATATTAAGTATCAAGATCAATAGTTTAATTTGTCTTACTTTTGAGCCGCCTGCTCTTGACGTCTCTTGGTGTCGTGATTGGCAAGGGAGCCTCCCATTTGGGCAAATTCTTCTTTGTGCCGCCGCTTGGTGTGTTTCAGGTAGTTGGGATAGTTGGTGAAGGTTCGCTCGCAGAATTTGCAGCTGAATGGTCTGTCTCCAGTGTGGATGTTGTAGTGTTGCTGTGGAAATTCATGTTGTATTTTAATTGCTGATCTGATTAAAAATTTATTCCAGTTAATATAACTTTGATCAAAATTGTCAAAATAAATCGTATTTTAATTACAGCAGTCGGCTTTGTCCTATCAAAATTCCTAGTCCTAGTTTTATATTAAACAGAACTGCAAAATACATTTAAGAATTACTACCTTAAGTTTGTTGTTTGAGAGGAATCCTTTGCCGCAGTACTTGCATTTGCACGGTCTTTCGGCCTTGTGAGTCATCAGGTGGACCTGACAAATAATTTAAAAGATGAAAATCTAATATTAAAAAAAAATTGTCTATTTAACCTTCAAACAACGCTCAGTCTTGTACATTTTGCCACAAATATCACACTTGTAGGGCCGGTCGTCGCTGTGGAAGCTGCAGTGGCGGTTTAGATGAGATTTCTCAGCAAATCTAAAATGTCAAATAATTTTCAAATATTCAAATTCCATTCAGTTTTAAAATGAAGTAAAATAAAAATTGAAACTTCTAGAAACTAAAAAGAAAACAGTAACGAAAAACAGAAAACTTTTTATAAATCATGAAACAATTTGTTCATGCTATTCTTTTTTTTTTAATTTTAATGCAATGCCCAAAACTAACCTCTTGCCGCAGATGTGGCAGGTGAAGGGTTTCTCGCCGGTGTGCCCTTTGAGGTGCTGCTGCATGTTGACCTTTTGAGTGAAGGTTTTTCCGCACAGCTCGCACATGAAGCGCTTTCCCTGTTCATGCACGGCCAAGTGCGCCTTCAGCCCGGAACTTGTGAGCAAACTGCAGAGAAAATTCAAAATCAGCTCGAAATGAAAACAGCAGAAATCTTACACTTTGCCGCAGACGTTGCACGGCCACTGCTTGCCGATGAAGGAGATTTTATGTTTCTGGAGGTGCAGTTTGAGTCCTGGTTTTGTGCCAAAGCCTTTGCCGCAAGTCTCGCAGATGTACGGCTTGATCTGGGCATGTTTTGACTCGACGTGCACCCGCAGTAAGGAGCGCACCGAAAAGCCTTTTGTGCAATAGCTGCACCTGAAAAATGCAACGGAAAATGAAATTATTGTGAGCGAAAACAGTTTGGAATTTCTAAAAAGAATCGCATCTACATTCCTTCTGCTTAAATTGACAATTGACAATAATCTAGATTTATAGGGAATTTAGTTTAAAAACGTGCCATATAAATTTATTACATTTCATATGGTGGAAAATTTATTTGATTGTGTAAGTGAAACCAAGTCAACCAAGGCTCACTGAGACTGAAGGGAGACCTTTTGATCTCGGATTTATATTATTATTATTATTATTTAATCAACACAATATTAAACTAGATGGCCATGGAGTTGTGAGACAAATTAAAAATTCCTTATTGATATGCAAGGAATAATTTAATTTATGACTTAATTTTATGACTCTTGTTGAAATGTTTTCAACAAAAATTTTAATAATTTTTTAAGAAAAAAAAGTGATCAAATTTCTTGAATATCATTAAATAATATTTACTTACTTGAACCTTCCTTCCGTGACGTGTCTGTATCGATGAGATCTGAAGGTGGAGTAGTGGTCCATCACCTTGTTGCAATACGAGCACTGGTAAAGAGGGGTAAAGTCGGGGTGCAGCTCCGAACAGTGAGATTCGAATGCAGGCTTGTTGGCCACAACCTTCAATTTAGGTTTTTTTAATTTTTCTCTCCGCAAATTTATAAACTCACGATTGAGCAGAGGCCGCATTTGATGCCCCAGTTGTCCTTCCACTCATCTTGGGGAACTTTTTTGTCCGGGTCCGACGTTTCCTCTCGATCGCCCAGCTCTTCATTGTCGCAATCGGCTGCACCGTTTTCCGCCTGCAAATTCAGCTTGGCCGCGATTTCTGATATGTCAATGTACTCGCTCATCTCCTCAAATTCTGTGATAAAAAAAAAAATATTTTAGAAATAATTATAAAATTTGTATTTTTTTCAGGATTTTTTACATGCGGTTTTAATTAACTTTAATTTATTTTAAAATTCAATTTTTCTGGTAAATAAAAAAGAATGGAAAACCTTCTTCGGAGAAATCGAGGCCCGGCACGGAGGCAAGAGCTTCCTCGACCTTCGTCTCGGCCATTCTCTCCTCATCGTTGGTCACCTCGATTTTGACGTCCTGCTCTTCCGACGTGGACGCGTCTGTTCGAATAAAAAAATGTTAAATTTCCCTAAATTAAACATTAAAATGAGAAGTTCCGTCTCCTCAAAAGGAAATGAAACGAAAGTTCATAGGAGGAGCTGTGTTTGTTTGTTTGTTCATTTTTGCGAGTGAAAAAAGTGAACTCACTTGAAATCGGCGCGTTGTCTTTGAACCCGGTGAGTCGCGCCTTGAGCATTTTGCCATCGGTGCCCGCCACTCAACCCTTTTATCTCTCAAATTTGGGGTTTCGCGACCAATTTTCTCATTGTTTACGTGCGACCATTATTAAAGTTTGCTTCTTCAGCGGTGCTGCCACCTAATCTGAAATCGCGGCCTCTCATTGGCTCAATTTCGAAGATCACCAAAGCAGCGCGGGAATTCAAAATTGGGGGATAACATGGTCTCCTCTCCGGGTGTGGAGGAGAGAACTAGGAAAACTCTCCACTCCACCATAAAAATGGAAGCGCTGAGCGGGGGTAGGTATAAATCTGCCTGACGACCACAATTTTGCCTCGTCTCGACCGACTTCTGACTCGTCTCGATCACGGCTACGCGTCAGTGCATCTTAATTGATTTAAGCCGTGTAGGAGCAATTGAGGAAAATCAAGGAAAAATATTACGAAAACTAATCGGTAAGATAAAAATATACATAGTTGTGACTTGTAAACTATTTGACAAATTTATTAAGTGCCTAAAACCTAAAATATCATAATTATAATATAATAAGTAACATTATTGATTATTTTTTTTATTTTTTATTTTTTAAATCCATTTTATCGAATATATTATTTAAGATGGTAGAAATTTGAAGATTATTAAAACTTATTAATTACATATAATGTGAAATATACTTATAATTTGCTATAAATTTGCGCTGGTGTCAGATTTTTTTTATATCAACCCCTTTATTGTTGCAGTCTTCCCTGAAGGAATCAAATGCTGCCGTTGTATCGAGTATGCTGACTTCCAGGCTGATTGCCTTCATGACGTGTTCCTGTGTGGGAACTGCTCGAGACTGGACGGCAAAACCTGTGGCCGTTGTCAGTGGAATGGACGCTCCTTCGTCATACTCAAAGTGTAATGCAAAATTGTTTACCTTCTGCGCTGTTTTTGTGAAACGGTTAAGTTTGATGGCCGCTGCTGGCGCGGCTCATCGAGTTTTGTCTCGACTGCCTGTAACATATTTATTGCTCTGTGACTCTTAAAATAGTGTTGTCTTTTAAACCATAGGAAAATTATAGTATCTACAAAATATGAAGCTTGAATAAAATAAATATATCTTTTTTTCACAAATATTTATATTAATCTACATCCTAGCCTATAAGTAACTAATTCCTTTATATTTATATGTAGTCAAAATAAATTTGAATCAGACCTTATTTGACTTTTAGTTAATCCATTGTAATTAGCAAGTCCTTTTTAATATCCTTTTACTGGAACTCCTTTTTTGTCTTTGATATTTTATTCCTCAGTCTAAAATTAAATTGTCTGGTACTTTTTGATCTCGTAAATTTGTGACGGGAATTGTTTGTTTTTTCCCCCTTCAATTTTCAATTCATAAAATGATAATTTGACCAATTTTTTTTTTCAACAATACATAAAGTTTCAATTTCTTCAAACAAAATCTCATTTATCCATATTTGTAAAATCTTCAATTGCTCTTTATTTCTTTAATCTCATGAGTGAAAATATTATGCTCGTGCTTCTTCCGCATGGCATTACAACCGTGTGTTTTACATTGCCTGGCACTTGAGCAGCTGGGCATGGTGTGTGTGTTTTCGGGCGCTGCGGCGGCTCTTGCAGAAAACGTGTGTTATTTTGCTGGCGAAACGCGGCGGCGAGCGCGCGTATCGATCTGCACGGGTCTTGCGCGCCCCGGCCCTTCTCTCGGGCTCACTCATCTTTCACGTCTGCACTGATTCGCATCCTTTCAGCACCGGATCGCCCGAAAACAGACTAAAGGTTTGTCGTTTCGCCAATTTTCCTTTCAAAATCGCGTTCGGACGCACCAGCACAGGGGTTCGTTGTCTCTGAAATTTGCACAGGCCGCTCCATCAATCAAGCGCGAAAGCGCAAAGATGAGGCCAGTGGTGTGTGTGTGTGTGTGTGTGTGCATTGACTCTGTTTGTCCATTTTGGCTCGCAACCGGAAGAAGGCAGTCGCCCTCGCCTAAATGTTGTCACCGTGTTTATTTTCCGATTTGTTTTCTTCTGTTCCTTTTTTCCTTAAAACCAAATAATTCAATTGTTTGCATTTTGTTTCATCCAGGATGAGGACTGCGAAGAGCAGGGTGGATGAGTCGTTTGAGGAAAATTAGCCCAAAATGCCACACAAAATTACCTTCAGTGTCATCTTTTCGTCCAGTGAGTACCTTATTGTTCCATTTTCAAAATTGAGATAAGTGGAGGTGCAACTGCGAATTAACAATTTATGGTGACGAAAAGTGTAATAACCAGCGTAAAGAAGTTTTGTTTTTTTATTTTGCTAATACTGGATATTGTTTGAAAATTTATGTTATGAACAAAATTTAAATCGAAATGGCGAGTCCTGAAAAAATAAATTTAATAAATTTTCTGAACTTTAGAATCTCTAACAAAACGAATTAATGTATCCTTATAATATTTTAAGTGCTCCTACTAATTTTTAATCACCTATTATTTTACATTTGTAAACAAAATTACATCCGCTTTAACTTGACAATCGACCCAGCAGGGAATTCCCGTTAATGATAAAAGTCAATTAATCTAAAACTTTTCGCTATAGACTTAGCGGTTAATTCCCGCTAGCGGAATAAAACAATTAGTTTAAAAATAAGCACAAAATCTTAAAGCCTAACGGGGATTTCCCGTTTTTGAAAAATTCGATTAATGGAAAAGTCGATCATTTTAAAAATTAGCACAATATCTAGATGCCCAGGGGGGGAATCCCCGTTAGCGGAAAAGTAAATTGATCTAAATTAATATATTATGCTCTCTCTATATTTTGATAAAATATCATCAGATAATTTTTAATGGTCTGCGCCTTACAGGGTAAAATAAAATTTCGAAATAAAATATTTGCAGTTTGAACATATCGTAAAAATCATTTTTTCTTTCTTGAAAGCTCCATTTACAATTATATCATTAATTTAAGTTGATTCGTTTGTAGTCAAAAGTGTTTATTGTGGTGGAATTAGGTGAGGTGGAGGCGTTCCGAGGGTCGGAACTGAACACGCCGACCCCAACCACCAGTGGATGGCGGAGTGCGCCGCACGCACCCTTCCCTCAGGAGCTGATCCTGCTGCTGCACGCCAAGGCCGCGCTCCAGCGAGTCCAACTTTTGGCCCATCAATATTTGATTCGTGAGTTTCGACTTAATTAATATTGCGTCATCATAACAATTCGGTCCAAAATCCTGATTTCTTTTGTCATTTCATTATTTTAAGTTTCAAAAACGTGCATTGTCGATTTTTCTCTCTTTCTTTTATAAATTTTTAAGACATTTGCAACCAAAAGTTTGATTGATTTGGATTTTTGATAAGTTTGAAAATTTATTTAACTTTGGTTTAAAGCGTTTTTGTTTACTTTATAAAATTTTTGCTTGCTTCTACTGATACAATTTTCTAGGTTTTAATCAAGTTTTAATTTTCTTCTTTTGGGAAACTAGAAAAGATAATTTTTTTGATCATCGAAGAATTATTTCACTAATTTAAAAAAGTAAAAAAAAAATTCTCGCATTTGAAAAAAAAACTTTTTAATTTATCTTTCTTATTTGAATTGAAAAATGTTTTCTTTAGCATCACGTGTGGAGTTTTTCGTGGGCGACTGCGATGAGGACCAGGCGAAGGACGGCAACTTTTCGCAGGCGGCGTTTCAGTACCTGGGCTTTGTCACCCTGTCCGACAATCAGGGAACGGCTTTCCAGGCGCGCGAGCTCAAGTCGGTGACGCTTCCGTGCTGCGGCCGCCTGCTCAAGCTCGTGCTGCACGCGAACCACCCCAACGATTTGAACGTCCACGAGCAGGCGAGTTTTTATTTTTTTGCGCAGAATTTATTCCCTCTTGATTGCCTTTCAACTTTATTGGCTAAAGTCGGCGAAACCGTCTTTGTTTGCAGCCTTTTTGTCGCAAATAAATAAATAAAAATACAAATTTCACGGTAGTAAAATATTGGAGCGCGAGAACAAATCGGAAATGAGATGGTATGCAACGTGCAAGACACGAGTGTCGCGAGGATTGCCTACTCACGCCAACCGAGGGGATTTTTGGCGTGACGTCAGATTTATGTTGTCTGCTATTGTTGAAAGCAAATTAAAGGAGAAATAATTAAACTATTATTCAAATTTACTTAGAACGGTCTAAGTTTAAATTGCTTTCATCTCTTAAAAGTTTTAAAAGCTTTCGAGGAGAAAAATAAATTAATTTAAACAGTTGCTTAATATTTTTAGATTACTTTTGCAGAGTGAAATTGAAGTGAAATTAATAAAAAAAAGTTAAGATTTTAGTATTTTCCAATTTAAAATTATTTAAATTTGTGGTGAATTCCTTTTACTCTTACAAATTAAAACCTCTTCTCTCATAATAATAGAAAATTTAAAATTTTCTTTTTCAAAATGAGAGTGTGATTTTTGTGTATGAACCGCGCAGGTTAGCTTGATGGCGCTGAGCCTACTTGGGCAATGGACCGAGGACAACAACAACTCGCTGACTTCAAGCCAAGATGCGATTCCGCCTCCGCAAGACGATGTGCCCGACAACGCCGCCAACAACAATTCAAACGTGCTGGTCAGCAACCCGCAGTACACGTCGCCATACGACGACCTGGCCTTTGACATGTACGTCGACCCTGAAGCCGCCAAAATCATTCGACAAATGGAGAGGAGGAAACAAGAAGCTGTCATGAGTAAATTTTTTATTTTAATACAATTATTTTCTCTCAAATAATAAAATTAACTCATTTCTTTTGCATTTATATATTAAGTGAAACAAAAATAGATTGGGTCTTTTTTTTCTTTTTATGCCAGCAGTTTTAGCAAAATGTTTGCTTTTCGTCCAAAAATTATTACTTTTTAAATTTTTTGCAACAATTTGAATAAATTTGGTCTAATCAATTTAGTATTTTTATTAAAAGTATTTTTTTTCTTTTAGGTGAAAGGTTCGAGTATGCGAGGAAGCTGAAGCAGGCGATGGAAGAGTTGAGGCGGGCCGGTGAGCGGCTGGGCAAGTTCGAGCTGGAAAAGCGTCAGGCCATCAGCATGGAGCACTTTGGCAAGGCGAAGCTGAAGAAGGCCCAGATGGACGACTACCGTGAGCAGGTTTACAACTTCCTCGAAATCCCAGTGCTGCTCGAGTTGAATGGGGTGAGTTTTGATTCTCCTACTAATTGAGGGCTTGGGTGTGGCCCAACTTGCGCTCGGCTCGCTAGGCTGATCAATAAAATGTAATAACGACGACAGAGACGACGATCATCTTGTTATAATAAAATGCTCCCCTCGCAAAAAAAGAGTGATTCTAGTTCATGTAAATTTTAGCAAACAGCCAGGTCAAGCCTGCAGAATGTTTGCATCTCTCTTGAAGTGAGAAAGTGCTCAATTTCTATTGATTAGTTGGAATTTATTATTACCATCTGCTTATCGAATCAAATTCAGAAAATATAAATTCAAATCTTGTTCATTCGTTTTGCACATTATTTTTGGAAATCCTCAAATTTCAAATTATTTAAAACCTTTTTCAGTTAAAAATAACAAATCATTGTAATAATGCATTTAATAATTATCAAATTGAAAATTTTGCAGTACCAGTTAAAGAACGACGCGCCAGTGGACACGAGCAAACGACGCGAGTTGCCTCCTCCACCGAGACTTCGGCCCAAATCGCGCGACCCGTCGCCACACGCGGCTGACAACTTGCACCTGAAGAACGGCAACATTCCGAATAACGCGAGAAACGGAAACATGCAGTTTTCGCCGCCAGGAGTAACCACGGTGGCCAGCATCAAACGCAGAGGCGCCAGGAACACGTACGAGGCCTACGAAGAACGAGCACTGCCTGCTCTAAAAAAGTAAAAGACTTTCATTTTTCATTTATTTTATATTTCAAATGATTTCTCTCTTGTAATTTTAATAAAAATTTATATAAAAATTGATTTAAATCAATCTTTTTCAAGACGAAAAAAGCATTTGGATTGAATTTTTTTTGTTTGTTTTTAATTTAAATTTTTAATTAAAAAAAAAATTTAAAAGAGCGGAAGAGAAATTAATTCTTTTTCTCCATTTCCAATTTTCAGCAGTAATCAGCGGGCGGAAGAACTTTTGCAGGACAACTATGATTCTGAAAGGTACTATTGTCTTAGCGACCGAGAAAAAAGACAGGCCACGCTTCCAATTTCAGTCTTCGGCACAACTTTGGTATTTTATATAACATTAATTTTTCTTTTTCTACTTGATTGAAACCAAATTTTATTGATCAGGTGGAGAAATTTTACTCGAAGCAGTTTGCCGACCGCGAAGACGGTCTGCGCCTGCTGAGGGAAGAACTGACTCGACCTGCCACGGAAAGCTTCGAGAAACATTCGGCCAACAAAACGGCCCGCGCCGCCATCTTCCTTCTGCACCGCGCCCTCAAGGACAAGGTCTACGCGGTCTACACGCTGGCCGCTGACGTTTTGCGCCTCTTCTTCGTCCAATTCGTGCCAACCAGAAGGTGCGTTTGGGAGAAAAAGGTGAAAATTGATGATCAAGCAAATCTTTTTTTGCAGGGTTGCAAGTGGCGAAGTTTCCAGAAGCATTGAACGGGTGTTGCCAGAATTGCTGTCCAAGAGTGGCGACAACACCCCTCGTATTCACAATATGGCGGTGCAAACCATCCTTGACATTGCTGACTGTCCCGATGTCAAGTGAGTGGGCAATAATTGTATTTTTTTTTCTTCTTCATATTTTGGAAGAGTCAGGCCAGGATTAAGTATTTCTTGCCTATGCTCTATGCTTTTAATGCAGAAGGCACCACCCGATTTGCTTTATTTTTTATTTTTAGTTCTAGGACTTAAATTTAAATTTATCACTTTAGGCTGGCATTTCTTTAATTGAATTTACACGTAATGATGTCAAACAATTATGCTGAAAACTAAAACGGGAAAGGATTAAGTTAAAAAAGGATATGTTTAAATTAGTGATTGGTGCCAAAGGGGATTTAGTAACAATTTAGTTGTTTTTTTTTTAATTTAAGAATTTAATATTTTTAATATTTTTCTAGACTTTTTTGTTATAACTTTTGATTTTCTTTAGATATTATTATTCAATTATCAGCAATATTGAAAAACTTCTTAAAACTTTGCAGAAGTCTGAATTTGATTCCGACTCTGCTGACAAAGCCACTCACCAACACCACGCATCCAAGGCTGGCCTTGAGCAAAATGGAAATGGTTGAGCAGCTCGTCCTGAAAATCGGCATCTCCAGCAACAAGCAAAGGTTTTCAACTTTACAATTTCAGCTATTATCAGAATGTTTTTCAATTTATTTTTCTTTCTTTTTTTCAGAGGAATGCAAATATTTTCATTGAAAATACAGTTTCAGGCCTAATTTTTGTTCACTCTTCATTTAAAGACAAATGAGAATTAAATTTGGAAAATGTGCGACATTCTCATCCACGTTTCTGCTTGAAATTATTTTTCCAAGCGAATTATAGATTCTTTAATTAAAATTTGGATGCAATGATGATTTTGAAATTTTTTTCAGATAAAAAAAAATCACCTGGGATCTAATTCTGTAAGCTTTTTCGTTTCTATTTCCACTTCTATATTCATTTTCCATTTGCTTACCCATTCTATTCCGTCGCCTTTTTCGATTACGACTTCTATTTCGCAGCCTATCCATTTCCATTTCTAATTCGTCGTCAATTTTAATAGTTGAGCCATATTTATATTTATATATATATAAATATAAATAAATATATATATATTTATTTATATTTAATTTAATTTAATTATTGCATATGCGCTTACAGTAATTTTCAAATGATTTTTAATATACTCAAGTCAATGAAATGTATAAAAAATTATTTGAATAAGGCGTTTAGTCTAAAGTACCTCAGTGTGGGAGCAAATTGTGGTACCACAGTGTGGGAGCAAATTGTGGTACCACAGTGTGGGCGGAAATTGTGGTACCACAGTGTGGGCGGAAATTGTGGTACCACAGTGTGGGCGGAAATTGTGGTACCACAGTGTGGGCGGAAATTGTGGTACCACAGTGTGGGCGGAAATTGTGGTACCACAGTGTGGGCGCAAATTGTGGTACCACAGTGTGGGCGGAAATTGTGGTACCACAGTGTGGGCGGAAATTGTGGTACCACAGTGTGGGCGGAAATTGTGGTACCACAGTGTGGGTGGAAATTGTGGTACCACAGTGTGGGAGAAAATTGTGGTACCACAGTGTGGGCGGAAATTGTGGTACCACAGTGTGGGAGCAAATTGTGTTACCACAGTGTGGGCGGAAATTGTGGTACCACAGTGTGGGAGCAAATTGTGGTACCACAGTGTGGGCGGAAATTGTGGTACCACAGTGTGGGCGGAAATTGTGGTACCACAGTGTGGGCGGAAATTGTGGTACCACAGTGTGGGCGGAAATTGTGGTACCACAGTGTGGGCGGAAATTGTGGTACCACAGTGTGGGCGCAAATTGTGGTACCACAGTGTGGGCGGAAATTGTGGTACCACAGTGTGGGCGGAAATTGTGGTACCACAGTGTGGGCGGAAATTGTGGTACCACAGTGTGGGCGGAAATTGTGGTACCACAGTGTGGGCGCAAATTGTGGTACCACAGTGTGGGAGCAAATTGTGGTACCACAGTGTGGGCGGAAATTGTGGTACCACAGTGTGGGCGGAAATTGTGGTACCACAGTGTGGGCGGAAATTGTGGTACCACAGTGTGGGCGCAAATTGTGGTACCACAGTGTGGGAGCAAATTGTGGTACCAAACAGCGCACGCGATGAATTAAATAATATAAAATACATGGTTGCTAATTTGCTAAAAAAAAAATATTATAATTGTATTTGAATTCAACCAATTTTTAAGAAATTGATTTAATTAACTTCGTGAAAGGAAAAATTATCTTGATCCCTTCTAATTATGAGCCACAAAAAGATTCGATTAAAATGGGGTGCAAGAGACATATAAGAATTATAAACATACATTTTCATTAAAAATTAAATAATTCATATAATTTTATCAACCTGAATATTAAAAACCATTCGAAGAGCACTGTAAGCATAGGGAATAATTAAATTAAATATAAATAAATAAATGGCTCAACTATTAAAATTGACGACGAAATAGAAATGGATAGGCTGCGAAATAGAAGTCGTAATCGGAAAAGGCGACGAAATAGAATGGGTAAGCAAATGGAAAATAAAATAGAAATGGAAATGGAACGATTCTATCTTACAGAATTAGACCCCTGCTACCATTTTTCACGCCTGTCTATTTTAATACTAAAAAATTTAAAAATTTTATGTCTAGAAAATTTTGTTAACTTGATACTATAATTATTTTTTAACTGATTTTAGTGGAATGACCTGCAGGAGTCTGACCGAGTTTGGCTCCTCGGGGCTGCACCATCCCTCCGAGCCGGTGCGAAAAGTGGCCGAGCGAGTGCTGATTTTGATTTACCACGTTAACCCTAGGATTGTAAGGAAGGCGCTTCCGCCTGACGACGAGCTTACGAGGAGAAATTTGCTTTATCGCCATTTGTTCTCCGACTTTGACCGAATTGACGTCGAGGTGAAATTAAATCTTTCTGAAGAAAAGAATTTATTAGTCGTCAATACAATTAAAATTTATTAATTTTTCAGAGGAAACAGGAAATGATGCTGCAGAGTCAGCGGGAAGAAGTGGAAGCGGCGGAAACTGCGTCCGCCTCTGCCGCCTCGTCCAAAAGCTGCTCGTCCGTGACTCCGAAAATGCGGAAAACGCGAAGCGCCATGTCGCAAATCGCTCGATACACGGCCAACTCGACCCCATCGCCTGCGCACACCAGTTCAGGCTCAAGTTCCGCCTCCGCCCTGACCTCTCCAGGCACTGAGGTCACGTCCAGAGGTCACGCTTCCCCGACAGCCGCCGAAGAGAGGTATTGATAAATGATTTAATAAATAACATAACAAATTTGGCTTTGCTGAAAATGGAGCAAAATTATTTCAAGCAGGAAATCTTACAGGATGTGCATTTTCTGCAAACGGCGCGACCCGTCCTTCACCGAGCAAGGCTTGAACGTCCACTACTGGAAGTCTTGTCCGATGCTGACGCGCTGCAACCACTGCAGACAGGTCATCGAGGTCGCCTGCCTCACCAGACACTTGCTAGGTTTGATTTTAAACTCGTAAATAAAGGGCTGTTTTAATCAAAAATTATTTCGACAGAGGTCTGTGAAGTTCGGAGGACTTACAGGAAATGCCGAATGTGTCTCGAGGCCATTTCCGTGGACGCGTTTGAAGAACACATCATTTCTAGGCGTTGTGCTTGTGAGTAAATCTTTTGCTCATATTCAGAGTTGATTATTATTTTACCTAAAAATAAATACATTAATTATCACCCCAAACAACATTATTATCAGAAAATTAACTCAAAATTACAGACGAAAAACTCCTTCATGTTGTTATCTTATATTACAATTCCTCCTTATCTTGGAAATGTATTAAATAATAAAAATATATTATTTTATGACAAATTTGACAAAATTAATCATTTCAGTGGCAGTGCCAGAGTCCAAGGGCAGCCGATGCCCATTTTGCCACTTGAATATTCCGCCCTGGGAGGATGGTTGGAGGGCTCACCTGACAGGTCCTCGTCCGTGCGCAGCACACCCTCGACTGAAGCAAAAAACTCCAGGTCGGCACTTTTTGCTTTTATTATCTCAATATTTTCCAACTCATTGAATTCCATTTTGCAGCCTCCAAAATTCCAAAGCCTCTGTTCAGCCTGACAGGTTCTCTAATAAGGAGGTCGGGCAACACGCCCGTCAGCTCACCAAAAGGAACGCCAAGATCCAAAAGGAAAACTCTGTACTGAAATTTGACTTCCCAGATACGAATTGTGTATTTACCACGTATACAATAATTCCTTAAATTTAAGGTTCCGCAGCCGTTGCCAGTTTGTAACAAAAGTAACTGTTAATTATTGTAAAAGCAACCAGAGTATCGTTGTGGGGACAAAGAAAAAACCACCGCCGGAACTGATGAGATTTTTGGATTACTTTTAAATAAGCTGAGTCTATTTCTCTGGTTGCGAATTTGTATAAATTCATCTTGTTAAATTTTCAATTAATTACTTATAGCAAACAAGGTACTCTAAAAGTACCTGCGCATCATTAATTCAAAAATTAAATAGAATTTTCGAAAACTAGGTGCCTACCTAGGGGGTTTGAATATTTGTAGGGATAGCAGTAATCAAGAAATTCAATCAATTTAGATTCTAATGTGGGGGAATGTTTATCTCATCCATAATTTTATCGAGCAAATAAATTTCACAAATCTTATGGCAATCTTGTTTCATTCCAAATCAGTTCTACATTTAGCATTTAAATACTGTTATTAAATTTTCCCATATTTAGAAATAAAATTAATTAACTGGACTGAGCGAGAAAGTTCGAAAATTGCTCAAGGCATATTTTAATGATAACAAAACGCCTGCAGTTTTCGAAATTATGCAACCGGCTTTCCCCGCTAATTCTGCCAGTTGCCTAAGTGCAGCGTGACAAACAACACCTGCAGCACTCTGGGTGCAGATGCACCGAGTAACACAGTTTCACACCTACGGTGGACTACGTATTTTGCTCTCCTGGTGTTATATAATTTGCAAATTGTGATTTTCATAGCCGTTTTTTAAGATTCATTATAATTTAACCGTGATTATTTTTAAAGAAAAATTTTGTTTAAAGGTAAAAATACTTAAGACATACATAAAGGACAAAAGGAACTCAATTCTTATAGGTCATTGACCTACTTCTAATTCAAATTGGAAATCCGCGAGGTTCGTCAAAAGCTTCTTCGACTGTTGATAAATTGTCTCTCAATGATTATGCATTATTTTGTCCTCTGCCTAAGTCGGTGTGCATTAAATTTTCAACACCTGCGGTATTGCAGGCAGAGAGCTCTGGATTAATGATTCATTGCTCCACACAAAATAATGGATATTGCGTAATGAGAGTGACCACACCGACTTTCATTTTAATTGTCTTACTTTCGCTTGCACACATAATTTGTTAGGAAATATTAACACGTCGTTTGCGGCCACATTATATTGAATTCCATCAGAGGGAAGGCTTAGGTTGGAAAAGAAATAAGAGCACCACTTGATTTATTATGAACAACAAATCATCATTTTTTTTATTTATCGCGAGTACAACTGTTCAGTGTCATTTTACGGTTCCTTCTTCTTTTATAAATACTTGAGATGGAGAGAAAACAACTAAAACAATTAATTAAAATTAATAATTAATTAGGCTTTATGGAATGTCGCCCGACTGCTCTAACAATCAAAACAATCATGGAGGGATGGGGATTATGTAACTAGTGAAAATCTCAGAGTTTTCGTTCCAAGTTCTTCAGCTTTTAGTTCTCTCCATACAGGCAGACAGACAAACAAACTCGTTTCGGAGTGAAAATGAAGAAAAAAAAAATGCATCGTCATCATCGATCGTCGCTTAATTAACAATTCAAACAATTCTCATATAATAATAACAACAACAAGATCATTATTATCAATCAAATGGTGAGTGCGAGTGATATTTTTTTGCACTTAAATTTTACAATAATTTCTTCTTGAAATTTAGCGTGAACAACGAGCGAGCGAACGAGAGAGAGAGATGATTAATTTTTGCTCTTTTTAAAAATCCACCGATCTTAACCGAACGTTGGGTGAAGGGCGCGCGCGTAGAAAAATAAAAGCAGCAGCAGTAGAGCCGCCCTCACTCAACTGAAAGAGGAGGAGATTTAATCAACAAACACACAGCAAAGCAGCAGCAGCACTAAGAGTCAGACGGAGGCACCACCAGTCTGTCCTCCCCTCGCGGCCCGTCCACGTCGTCCCTATCACAAGCCAGCTGCCGCCTTCGAGGGGAGGAGCCAGCACGCACACAAGAGTCCTGAGAGCTTCGAGCACACTGGCCGCCGCTGGCCGCCTCAGTTGCCGCCGGCAACCACGGCCGCCGCCTCCGACGTCCTCTGCCTCAGCTCAGGAGGCAGGTCTCCGTAGTACGAACTGGCGTGTCCGTTCACTGCCTTTGCGTGGCCGTTCGCGTGGCCGTTGGTGGCGTGGCCGTTTTGGTGAAGTTTGTCCATCTAAAGATAAAGAAACATAAACAATCATTAGTTTAAAATCGAAAAACAAATTAGATTCAAATTAATTCTTTAATTTTCATACAAAAAAAATTTCAATTCAACTGGATTTAATTTGGAGAACTTTTACTAAAAAATGATGCATTCAAAACAAATTCACTGATCTTGCTGAGAATATTTCATAGAACTTTAGTTTCGGCTTTAATTGGAGGTGAAATATTAAAATTTAAGAGTTGCAAATTGCAGAATTATGGCCTCAAACAAGAAAATTAAATAACCCCAGCAATTTAGAAAAATTTTACTTAAAAATTTGAAGTAATGTAGAAAAATAAGCTTAAATATTTATAAGAAGCCCAAAAAGAATATCTAGGAAAACGTAGAATTTCCCCAATTTCATTTTAAAACTTTTGTTGTTGTTTAAATGAATTTTTTGTCATTAAATAATTAATTTGATTGAATAGTCGGGGGCTCACTTGAAGGTTGCAGGGGATGAATTTGGCAAAGGCCGCAAGCGACTTTGCGCCCGACCGCTTGGTGCCGTCGTTGTAGGTCTGCTTGTAGAACTCGGAGAAGAGGAAGAAGAACATGACGGCGTGCATGCCGATCCACCAGACGAACGCCCTGGGGTAGTTGCACTCGACGAAGAGCAGCTGGAACGCGTGGGTCATGATGCCGATGAACTGGATCATTTGCAGGGTGGTCAGGTGCTTCTTCCACCAGATGTACTTCTGGTACTGAGGACCCATGGCGGCGACCATGTAGTAGAAGTACATGATGATGTGCACGAAGGTGTTGAGCAGGCCGAAGAAGGTGCTGTGGCCGCCGGGCGTGAACATGACTCCGAACCACACTGACATGGGCATGCAGCCGTGGTGAATCACGTGCAGGGTCGAGATGTGTTGGTTCTTCTTGCGCAGCACAAAGAAGAACTGAAATTTTTCACAAATTTTCATTAGTGAAACGGCAAAAAAATTAACACTCAATCAAATTTTGTAATACTTTCATGACAGCTCGACAGATTTTACTTTTTTTTTCAATGGGCATTAAAAATGAATCAGACTGCGGAGACTAATTTTCTCCTCGCCGTGGCGTTTGATTTCCTCCTCTTTCCCAATCCTAATAAATGTAAAGTGCATTTGTGAAAGAACAATATCGTCGAGCTATCAAACACTGTCGCGCGCCACTCTTGCTTCACGAAACACGGACGGAATCGTTAATGACGAGTCCGCGGCCGATCGAACTGGGTCAGCGCGCGCGCAATGCAAATATTATCAAATATACTCACTGTGTCGAAGAACTCTGTGAATTTGGAGAAGTAATACCACCAGCAGGCGTGGACCATCTGGAAAAATGCGCTCAAGTTAATTTGAGATCGGTGAAAAAAGTTTTTTTTTATCCACGTCCGACCGTGAAAGTGGGATTATTGACACAAAAAATCGGCGCCACGAAAAGTAAAAGCAAACTGGTACTTAGTCAAGATTAAAAATATCATAGTTTGCTGAAGCGAAATGGACACGTAAAAATAAGTAAAATGTAAAAATTAAAATACACGCCCATCTTTAGTAGAATATAAAAAAAAGTAAAGCATGCACTACTAATAGATTAATTGATTTTAATAAAATTTGTTTAATCGAGTTGGGAAGTTTTTGAGAACTTCGAGCCAACTGACACTGGATTTTGTTTTTTAGTTAGTGGTCGGGGGTCAAAGTTGTCCTTACCCTCATTCCAAGAGCGCTATTGGAATAGTCCACCGGTTGGCATCGATAATTATAGTCTCCTGTTAACCATCCCGACATACCCAGCTGTAATCAAATAATTCGCCCGTTTATAGTGATTGCCTCAATTTGGTCACCGCGCCAACATGGTTCAGATTCGTTCATTGATAGGTGCACAAACAAGAGGTTTCGCTCGTCAGTCCACTTTTTCTCTGATTATGCGAGATTTTGGAGGGGGATGGTGCAGTGTGCAGTGAGACATGAAGAAACGACAGGAGGGATTTAAAAAAAAATACACCGACCGCAGCCTCGGAAAGAGAAAGAAGGATTACGTGCGCTGCTAAAATTGGCCAATTGGAGAGATTCTCAAAAGGGTAGTACAGAAGGGAGGAAGAGATGAATTTATATAAAATAATAATAATAATTAATACTAAATTCAAATGAGAATAATAATTTTAATTTTCTTCAGGAAAGAGTGAAATATATACTTAAGTTTAAAAAGTTAAAAAATTGATTATTCTTTTTGCATGTTTTTCTCGTCTCCCTTTTGTACACTCCTATTTCGATCCTTCTTTTGGTGTCGATTGTTTGCCAATTAGCAGGCGCACTGCTCCTTTCACTTTTTTCCTGCTAAGGGTCGGTCTGGGCGAGGGGCCTCTCGTCGGTATAAATCAAGGCAACGACTATAGATCACACCACCGTCTCGGGATTAGTCACAAGAAACGACACAAATAATTAATATATCAAATTATATAAAACTAAAGAACACAAAGTTCGCGACACTGATAAAAAAAAAATGAACACGGTGAGTGCGGAATAAACTGGATTAGTCACATATAAAAGCGGCCTCGCGACAGTGAAAGCAGCAACAGCCGTCCTCATCCGCGCGAATAAAAATATGGATCTGTACAGATTACGAGTTAATTGAGACAAATTTGAAACTTTAATGAATGGATTGTGAGTTGGGTTAGAATCGATTTTGGCATCGTCGACGGCGGTGACTCACCCTCCAGGCTATGGGATTGTCAGAGGTGTCCACAGGTTGGCACCTGTAGCTGTAATGGAACAGCCAACCACCCATCAGGCACTGTCAAAGGGCAACACGACACTTACTTTTAGTGGATCGCGACCGACACATTCAATTTGTCAATCAAGGAAAGAAGAGAGACAGAAGAAGAAGGGAGACGAGAGGGGTGTGAGAAAGGGAGTTGGATGAAAAAAGAAAAGGTGGACTGTGCGAATTTCTTGCAAATTTTATCCATACAAACCACGTTGCGCGCGGGGTTGAAGGGGTGGAATGAAAAGTGGAATTTTGCGTACCTCGTAGAAGAGCCACGTGCTGAATACCACCTGGAAGGCGTTGTAGGCGATGAGCACGCGACGCAGCTCGAACGGTTTGCGGTTCTCCATCAGCTTCGGGCCGAGCACCTTGACGATGTACACGTAGGACAGGCAGATGCTGAGCGTCGGCAGCGGAGAGCTCATCAGGAACCAGCCCTTGACGCGTTGATCTGTCGGAAAGCACGAGAGAGAGATTTTTGGTCAAGGTTGTCTCACAATTCGCGGCGCGCAAGGCCTTGCTTTCTTTCCAGAATGCTCGCGGCCTTACATCTTTTGCATGTAAGGAGGAATGAAAATATATTTATATAAATATAATATATGAGCAGGGAAAAGAGTGCGGACATAGATCGACCTCCGAAGTGAATCACCGTTGGCAAGGTGGTGCGGAAAACGAGATCGGCTCCTGTACGGGAACTTCAACGACCGGCTTTGTATATATTTAATTAATCCGAGTTGTTTGCTCGAAGATCAAAGCCTAGGGAGTTGACTTGTTTGGAATTGTTACATAGGAAATTGCTCGGAATGAAATTTGCTATTTACAGGAAATGAAACAAACGATCTTGAAAGCTTCAAGTGCATATTTGCAAAATAGAGAAATAAAAAAATTTAAATTTCTAGAACCGGCGTGAAATGACCAGAAATAAACTTTTGCTAATAAAAACTTATTCGACACTTTCAAATATTTTCCAACACCGCAGCTTTGCCACACATTTTCAAAAGTACCACTTTGTCCATGTATATTTTGCTTGCCGCGGTTTGCCAAATGCACGCGGCAATTACGAACCGATTAAAAGCTAATCGCGTCTGCGAGGACGCAATGTCGGTCGGTGCGGCCAATTCAGCGAGCGCGCTGGCCAGCGGCGTCAGGTGGATTTAAGTGGGCATACAGATTGCAAAGGAGGCGAGAGAGAAACTCGACGCACTCGCCATAAAAGCCGCCTGAATGGCTGTTCAAACAATCGCGGGCGCAAGAATATACTCGACTCGAATTACTTCATCGCACTTTTCCCCAGTCATCCGCGTAATGCAATTTCTAATTGTGCTTGCGACGCGCGATTTTCGCAAACGAGGCGCAAAAACCGCCCGTTCATGTCTCCGCGGCGAGCTCGGCCGACGCAAAATTCAACTCGGAGGAATATAATAATTATGATTAACTTAATTTTTTGTGCAAAAAATTGACCTGTTAAAATTTAAAATTCATTGCATTTTTATTAGAAAAAAACGCGAAGAGTAATACAAAAAAATTCTATTCATTTTTATTTTCATCTTTTAAAACGGAGTTTCAGGAATTTGACTATTTTAAAATTTTCTTATAAAAAATAAAACGTAAATAATGATTATAATAATTAATAATTTAAATCTGTTATAAATGGAATTTAGGGGAATTAGATTATAAAAAACTTGAGCATTCTGGAAATTTTTACAGTAAAACTTATTTGAATGTGTTTTTTTTCTTTCCATTTTTAACATTTTTGAACAAAAATATTCCAACTTACCTCCGTGTCGCGCGAAGAAGTCATTGAAGGCCTCGAGCCCCTGGTACAGCAGGTGAGCCATGCTTGTGATCTGCAACACACACAAACACACGGACACTGTTAACCCTGGTGCTTTTTCTTTCCACGCCCGCCAGCCCACCCGCCCGCCCGCCTGTGTAAGGGGATCCTGCAGCAGCACTTTCGCCGCGGCCGCGGTGGCGCAACACTTTCACCGTCGACGCGCGTTTCGCGCCTCTTTTCGCGGGGGCCGCCGAGGAATTCGTGCCCGAATTCGTCCTCGAAGGGCCGTGGTGCGGGCTACGTACCTGTGTTCGATTTCGGAGGGTTTTGGGGGTGCAAACGTGCTTCGGTATCCAGAGGGACCACGGCGTCCCGGGACCGTCGACGAACGAACTGACAGAAGAGGACTCGAGTGAGCGAGTGAGCGGCTGCCGCGAGAAAACCAAGTGAAAGTCGGCGCGCTGCCGACGCTATATTAATGCCCCTACCACCGCGGGGCCGCCTATATCAGCGGGGCCCGCGCTGCAAAAACGGCGCCGCGCGCGGCGTGGAGGGGGCACCGACGCACGGCGCTGCCCGCCTGACCGTGATCCTGAAAAACCCCCGACGTCAACAAGTACCTTCTTTGCACCCAAAGAAAGGCCACTGCGCGTCCCATTCGGCCTGCAAGTGGAGCGCGGGAGAATGAATAATTTCGGCTGATTATCCGAACAATTGTTTTTTTTTTATCCGATTCTGCCCAGTTTGTCGCCGAACTGCCGCAGACGTTTGCGTTAATTGTTGATTTCGGTCGGACGCACACGCACAAAGCCGCCTCTTTCGGCATTTTCTCTTTTGCGTTCTGCCCCCGAGGCGATTTGACAGTGAATTGACCAATTTCATTTTTGATGTGTGACATTTTGGCGAGTCATTATTTTCTAATCGATTGTTTATGCCAATGTTTTACTTGAAATTTCACCTCATTTGATGCTGGTTTTTTTATTTTTAAGTACAAATATACGCGTCGGAATGAATTAATAATAAGCCTGTGGGAAAACATTTGTCAACCTTCATTTTTACATGACGCACGTAATTATAGAACATGATTTTCTATCTTCTTATTATTATTGGAAAAATGATGCGCTTTGAATGAAAAAATGTTGCAAATGTTGCAATAGCAGAAAAAATGGGATAAATCAGCTAATTACTTGGGAAACTCCGGATTATGTTATGATTTATTTTCCATTAACGTCAACTTCCTTCGTTTTTCTGCTTGCGTAAACATCCGGCTTTGGCAAATAGAGTATTCTCATAGCGATCGGATTATTTATTTAATCTTGAGCGCGAGTTGACCACCTTGGTAAAAAAAATTGAAATTCAAGTGGTGCCTTTGGATGAAGGACAAATTTGTATATAAACGCGATTTAGATAAAAGATAAAATTTAAAAGACAAAACTAATAAAAGGCATCAGAGTGTTTGGGAAAAATTAAAAAGCATCGTTTGTGCGTCGGAAATAAATAAAATAGACACCCAATCATGTATTATTTTGTTGATAAAAATCAACAATTAAAATAGATTTTGTAGTAGAGTTTCACTATCGAGGGTTGATTCATGTTGATTTGAATTTAAAGTCAGCTTTTCCTCGATTGTGGCATGTTTATTGTTTAAGAAAAAACAAAATCCTGCTGAACATGTTTATGCTGCAGCCACAATTGATGAGCTATGAAATCAGTTTGACAAGAATTAGTACAAAAACAAATTTTTTAAATAATATTTTTCTTTGCATAATTTTTCACAAAAAAGGCAAAAAAGTGTTAATTTGGGAAAAAAATTTAATAAAAATACTGATTTTTGTACTAATTCTTGTCAAAATGATTTCATAGCTCATGAATTATGGCTGCAGCTGAAACATGTAGAGCAGGATATTGTTTTTTCTAAAACAATAATCAAATCACAAAACCCATCGAGTAAAAGCCGATTTTAAATTAAAATCACCATGAATTAAAGTAGAGGTAGAGGTGGCAAATTCTGAGCAAATTATTCACGCCCGAGGGTGCAATAGATTTTTGTGTCCCGATTAATTTATTCATTTCGTTAGTTGGAAGAGACATTTTGTCCCAAAATATCGCGCAGCACTTTGCTGGAATGTTAAGTGTCAGCCTTTTGCGTGCGCGTTGTTTGGTCGCATCAGCGATTCAGTGTTGCTCACACTGCGGTTGTCGCATTGGCTCGGGGCGTCTTGCGAGGATATTTTGGACTCGAGCCATAACTCGAATGCACTGTACACACACCGCTCAGCTTTCCTATTTATTTCCCCGCCAGCCAAGCAGCCGATCAATCGAGTCAATTTATTTATCAGTTACGTCACGACAACAAAAGCAAATTCGTCTCTTATCTTGCGCGATACCAAGGACGCAGCTCCTTTTTCGAAAATGATGAAAAAATAATACACACAACGTCCTCATTGCGTTTCTAGCTCGTTTAATTGCTAGATAGGATGGCGAACCGGTTTGAGAGAGGCGCTTTTCCGACGCGGGACTTCCCGTCTCACACGTCTCACAATTATATTGATGATCTCCTTGGAATTAATTGTATTTATTTGTAACTATATGACGATCAACGGATGCAGTTTAAAATGTGCAGTTGCAATTTTACCGTTAGTTCAGGTACAATAATTGAACAACATTATTAAGATTGACCCCATTGTTAAAATCGTTCCAATGCATAATGAAAAGAATAAAAAAAAAGGATTTATTAACATTTTCAATAATTTTTTTGATAAATAATTATTTTCAATGAAGCACAAGAAAACTTCCAAAAATAATTTTAAACCAGAAATTTCGAAAAGAATTTAATTCAGATCAATTTTTTCACAAATAAATAACTAATTATTGTATCCTATTCCTTGGTCTCTCATAGAAGAATAATTACATTAAAAATTAAATTGAAATAAAATTGAAACTATATTTTAAATATTGAAAACTCGAATAAAATTATTCAAAGAACTCAAGGCAAAGATTCTTGAATTTTTAGGATTTTTATTTGATCAAAGAGTGGACCTTGCCGCGTGTTGTCAGCAGCGGCTCGATCGACTCTGCTCGACGAAAAAGGAAGCAAAGCGGCGAGTGTGCGGATTCCTCGGGTTAGCACGGTGCCGAGTGAGAAACTTTCACTCTGTGGCCTATGACAGCAGAACATGACTTAGGTGAACGAGCGCCTCCATATTATCGCATTCCGCGGAGGCCAGCATTAGGATAGATAATATTGGCGATCGCTCGCTCGCTCGCTCGGCAACAGGTCCCTCGGGATGGATCCTCCGCCGCGTGCCAACTTATGTAATCGAATTATACGCACTGGCCGACACCTCAGCCTTTTTTCATTCCGTGCGCCCATTCATTCGAGCCTGCGTCTTTTTTTCAGTGCAATGATGTCGCGCCCGACGGGAAACACGCTTGAACCTTTGCACCTTCCTTGGCTGGGATTTTTTCAAGGCTTCTCTTGTGGTGCGCCCTTCTATTTTCCATACCAGATCAATTCGCTGCTTTGAATAATCCCATGAGTAAGATCATCGTTGATCTGGGATTTTTCTCCATTTTTTCTTTGGTCTTTCTTGAATATTATTATTTATTCTTCTCAGCCGATACAAAAAATTGAAAAAGAGAAGAAAGGTTTTGCAACAAGCAGCATTAATAGATCATATCACAATATTATTTGCTGTGCAATAAAGTTTAAAATTGCCACAAGAATAAGTAAAGAAAATACAAAAACTCCCAATTTGCCGAATCAAACTTATCTTCGCGTTTCAAAATAATTTGTCGTGAAAAAGCAATAAAAAAAATACTATATTTTTTTTTGTATCGATAAGAAAATTTAAGTACAATTTAATGTTTATTCAATTAAAACTGACATTGCCCTCTTTGCATTTTTAACATTCGATGCAGCGAAAGTTGAATAATCCGGTCAACCACTTAAAAACTGGCTCACAAATTGGCCAGCCAGGTACGTACCCGGTCGGGAACGAACGTGTCCAGTTTCGCGAGTGGGGTGGCTATTTTCGGATGAAGGCCAAGGCGCACCACCCGAGGCACTCCATCCTCCTCCTTTTTTTTTGCCAGCGTCACCGATCTATCTCTCTTTCTTTCTTTCGCACTCGACTTACGTTCGTCAATTATATTTTTTACCGACGCGCCAAAAGTAATGATGATTGTAACATCTCTTGAGAGCAGAGACGCGGAATACGAAGAAGAAGAAGAAGTGCACACACAATGATCAAATTGCGCGCATCATGCTGGTCATGCTGCCGGATCTCTCTCTGATGACAACTGACGTCAAGCGAGTTCAAAAAACGATGGAAAAATCCAGCACCTAATGGGTGTAAATGATAAATAAGAAGAGCTACAGACGCAATCAAAGCTATTGTCGAGTGGACAAAGGTTTGAGCAAAAACGCGCCAATGTTGTCCCACTCGAGTGTCTCAACTCAATGTTCAAACTAAAAGACGCGCGCGCGATCCGTTTATCAAATAATTGTTCTTGCTTGATGCGTGTTCTGTCACTTTTTTCCATCCGATTTGTTTGTTTTTGGCCAACCCTGGTGGCCTTGAGTGGTTCAAGCACTTGTAAAGTCTACACCGTAATGTAAGGTGATGAAAAAATGTATCTTTTTTTCCAAATTTTAAGTTGAAGGCAATGGAATTAAGTTCATTTTGCGAAACAATGCTGGAAGATAATTAGAGAATATAATTATGCTTGGTTATGCAAGTTTTGCGATTATGATTATTTTCTTTGAAAGTAATGTTTGAGAAAGCAATGTAATTTATTATTATAAATAACTAATGAATTGAACGAAACGAATTTTCGAGTCATTTTGCTGCAATAAAATTGTGCAATTTTTGCCTTTTACTTATACAAAAAAACTCTGATGCAATTGTTTAAACTTGAGAATTGTGCACTTGAAGGTGCACTTTTCATTTTCCTCGCGAATCGCAGACGCAGGCAGGATGCTGGTCATGCACGCACATTATCTTCCGAGGTGCTTACTGAGCATGAACGTTTAATTACTTGCAAAAGGTTTCAGCAAAATTTTGAGCG